CAGACCCTCTCCAGTAACATGGTCCATGTGGTGAGTGGTTCGACCTCTTTGCTGAGCCACAGATCTGCACCCACAGCCCAGGGTGTCGTCTATATCTTTGGCTTCATCCTGCGAAGAGAGGCCCCTCCCTCCTGGCAGTTCCCTGGAATTCTGCCTGACATTCTTGCCCAGGGGATTCGAGGGAGTTATTCAATGGACCTCACAACATCATATGCCTTTTGAAAGGCTGCCGCTAACTCAAGCTCTCCACGCAGGCCGGCCCCATCCCAGGCAGCACGGCCTCACTGTAGGGGCACTCCCTGCTTAAACACTGACAGCTCCCCAAGAGCGGTGCTACAGGACGTCAGGGGCTGCTCACTGTGAGTGTACAGGCTGGGTGTGGAGAGAGCCAAACCACACATTTGTGCTGTAGAAATCCTTTTGGACTGCACACGAAGCACGCGGCAGCTGCGAGCCAGAGCTTCCCGGGCACCAGGCGATGCTTGTCTGGGGAAGCTGGGCTGGCCCGCCAGCTTCTCACCCTCAGAGGAGACTGGTGGGTGCTGCCCCACGTGCTCTCGCCCCACAGCACGTGGGCTCGCGGGGATGCTGCAGCCCAAGTTCCTTCTGCTCCCTGCTGACAGCCACGGTGGCTCCAACCACGGGTCATGTGCAAACGGCTCAGCTCAGTTGTTTACATTCCTCCCGGGCTGTAAAAGTCCCCTTTCTTTTCTTTTCTCTTCTTTTTTTTTTTTTTTTTTTCCTGCCAGGCAGAGGTAGACAGAGAGAGAGAGAGTGAGAGAGAGCGAGAAAGTCTTCCTTCCGTTGGTTCACCCCCCAAATGGCTGCTACGGCCAGCGCTGTGCCGATCCAAAACCAGGAACCAGGTGCTTCCTCTTGGTCTCCCATGTGGGTGCAGGGCCCAAGCACTTGGGCCATCCTCCACTGCACTCCCTGGCCACAGCAGAGAGCTGGACTGGAAGAAGAGCAACCGGGACAGAACCGGCGCCCCGACCAGGACTAGAACCCGGTGTGCCAGCACCGCAGGCGGAGGATTAGCCTAGTGAGCCGCGGCGCCTGCCTAAAATTCCCCTTCCTAGAGCAGTGTTTCTCCACGTGTAGACTTGGAGCTACCTGGGGCAGTGTCACCTGTGTGCTTGTTAGCAATGCAGCTCCCCAGGCGTGTTTGTGTTAGTTGAGTGTTTATGTCCCTTGTTGGCACGTAAGCCTTGGAGAGGAGAACCTGTTGTGGCCATCATGGTACCCCCAACTCCTGGAACAGAACAGCACTGGGAACACAGGAAGGGCTGACTGTGGAATGGATGAATTCCTGAACTCTACACTGACCTACTGAATCAAAACACCTAGGACTGCGTCCAAGGACTCCGCATTATAAACAAGCACCTAGGTGATTCTTGTGCACGCTAGAGTTTAAGAATGATGTTCTAAAGTAATTTGGCCAATTCTAAGATAGACCAAATGGTGGAAGATGTTCTCCCAAGAGGTGCCCAGGCTCACTGTCCAGTCAGATGTTAAGGTAAAGCTGGCATGTTAATCTCCCTGAGTTAAATTTTCCTTCTAGTCTTGTATCTCTAGCAAATGTATGTCTGCCAGGGTTGGCATTGTGGCGTAGCATGTAAAGCTGCTGTCTGCAGTGCCAGCATCCCATATGAGTGCCGGTTTGAGTCTCGGCTGCTCTACTTCCGATCCAGCTCTCTGCTATGGCCTGGGAAAGCAGTAGAAGATGGCCCAAGTCTTTGGGCCCCTGCACCCGCGTGGGAGACCCATGTGGCCCTTGGCTTCAGCCTGACCCTGCCCTGGCCATTGGGACCATCTGGGGAATAAACCTGTGGATGGAAGATCTCTCTCTCTCTCTGTAACTCTGTCTTTCAAATAATAATAATTTTAAAAAGTTTGCCACCTGCCAAATGCCAGACTCTGAGTTTGGCAGGCAGAGTACCTAGAAGGGTGTGAGCCTGCCTTGTCTAGCGTCACACTGTCCATTCCCCTCTGCTGCAAGCAAACCCTTGGAGCTGATTCTCTGGCAGGCCTGGCTCCCAGGACCACTCACTGATGTGGGAATGAAACAGATCCAGTGGTTCCTTCTGTTTTCCTGGCAAGCTTGAGGGACACCTCCCATCCAGGAAAGGCATACAAGATGCATCTTATCTTGAAAGAATTTGACTTTTCCAAATGGAGCTCCTGAATGCTGGGCTCCTCTGAGCTTGCTCTGGAAACCGGGGATTTCTGGTTACAGCCCAGCCTTTGCCAGCCTTTGATCTCCGGCTGTCACTTCCCTCTCTCAGCCCATTTCCTCATTTGGAAAATGAGAAGGGGAGGGGTGGACATTGGGTGCAGTGGTGAAGCTGCCTCTTGGGACACCAGCATTGCACATCACACTGTGTGGGCTCAAGTCCCAGCTCCATTTCTTTTCTTTCTTTCTTCCTTCCTTCCTTTCTTTCTTTCTTTTTTTTTTTTTTTTTTTTTTTTTTTTTTTTTTGACAGACAGAGTGGACAGTGAGAGAGAGAGACAGAGAGAAAGGTCTTCCTTTTTGCCGTTGGTTCACCCTCCAATGGCCACCGCAGCCGGCGCACTGCGGCCAGCGCACTGTGCTGATCCGAAGCCAGGAGTCAGGTGCTTCTGGTCTCCCATGCGGGTGCAGAGCCCAAGGACGTGGGCCATCCTCCACTGCACTCCCTGGCCACAGCAGAGAGCTGGCCTGGAAGAAGGGCAACCGGGACAGAATCCGGCGCCCCGACCGGGACTAGAACCCGGTGTGCCGGCGCCGCAAGGCGGAGGATTAGCCTAGTGAGCCGTGGCGCCGGCCCCAGCTCCATTTCTGATTCCAGCTTCCTGCTAATGCAACCCTGGGAGACAGCAGGTGATGGCTCAAATTGCTGGGTCCTGGCCACCCACAGGGGAGACCTGGATAGAGTTCTTCATTCTGGACTTTGGCCTGAGCCAGTCCTGGCTGTTGAGGGCCTCTCAGGAGTGAGCTAGCCCAGGATGGGAGATGTTACTCTCTGTCTCTCTGTCTTTCAAATAAAAAAAAAAAAAGTTTTAGTTTAAAAAAGATAAGATTAGACTAGAATCAGGTCTCAAGAGTCTTCCCATTTAATATACACCTGGCTGCCTTATACTCAATAAAACGTCCTGTGTGTTTAAAGGAGCAAATTGTGCTGGGCAACCCAATCCTCCCAAAGTTGTCTGTGGCAAGCTAGGTAAAATTCGAGATTTGCAAAGCACTTTCCAAGAATTTTGCCTCAGTTTCCCTGTTTTCCTACATAGCACTTTTAATATGCTGAGACTCATGTAAAAGGCAGATAGAATGACCGAATTTCTTCCGAATGTGAACATTTTGTCTGTATCAAGACAGGAGCCAAGTATCTTGGCACCGCCTGAGCTACCAGAGGTTGAAAGTCAAGCTTTAAGGGAGGAAGGGCTGTGAGGGGCAGGGAGAGACACAGCAGGTGACATGCTCTCTAGGGCCCTTTTCTTCCAGCTGTACCACCCTCCCTTCTGCCCCCCCCCCAACGTCTCATACAAGTTCCCCAAAGGTGGGTTGCAAAATTCGTATTTCAATATGGAAAAACTTAAGCAAGAAAGCACTACAGGATATGAAGGCGGCCAGTGCTTGCCATATATCCAGACTCCCAGGGACAGCAGTAAATGCTTTATGGAGCTATTGACCACTCCCACACCCCACCCATGCACACTATCCCAGTAGCAGCCCCACCCACTCCTGGTAACAGTCGCCTATCCCACAAGTTATTTTTCAATTTGTCCTTCAAAAACCTCAAACACTGCCTGATGTGAAAACTTCAGCCATTTTAGCAATACCAGGAGAGCTAATTTTGATTGAAAGAAGATTTCTCTGTGTCTGGGCCCACATAAGTACTCTCTCCTTCATCTGATTTTCCCCCAAGTCTTGAAGTAGGAATGCGACACTGCATTAAAACAATCTCAACAATTCAAGCTGCTTATTGCAAGACTTTTTAAAAATCATTTTGCATTTGTTAACATATTTAATCCAGGGATACTGGGCATCATGGGAAATTAGGTGACTTGACTAAGATCACACACCTAGCTCTATGCAGAAATCAACCTCTCTGATAATTATCATAATGGTAAGCAAGAAACCACCTGTGTTATCATCTTAAAGGAGAAACATTTTGGGTATGCAAGGCTGCTTCTGTCTCCTATGCCTTTGTACCCAACTGTTTACCTTTGGGGTCCAGGAGCTCCGGGCCTGCTTTATGCTTTGCACTGAGAATGTCCCAGGTATCTTTCTGACTTGAATATTTTCCTTCAAATTTTTCTTCTTGGCGTTTCATCTAAGTGCAAGAGTGCAGGTGTGGAATAAAGATGTTTTCCCACACTCGCATTGCCAATTGTCTTGCTCCACGCCAGGCTTCTTTTACCTGCATCAAGAGGGTGACTTACTAAGCAGGCTCTGTGCTGAGTAGAGGGACGTCATGGCTGTTCTCCAGGGAACAGCAAACACCATAGGGTCAGGAGTCCCCCAGGTGTGCCGGGAGTCCCACAAGTGTGCCGGGAGTCCCACAAGTGTACCAGGAGTCATGGCCTGGGTCACTCATGGAGGTAAATGCATTTCCTCCAGGAAAGCACCCAAGAATTTAATTTTTTTATTTGAAAAGCAGAGACAGAGAGACAGAGAAAAGGGGGTATCCCTCCATCCACTGATTCACTCCCCAGATGCCAGCAGCTGGGGCAGGCTGAAGCCAGGATCTCAGTCTGGGAGGCAGGACCCAACTACTTGAGCCATCGCCTACTGCCTCCCAGGGTGCACATTAGCTGGAATGAGGAGTGAAGCCAGAGGCTCTGATGTGGAGTGTGGGCATCTCCTAACCACTGCACCAAACATCTGCCCCCAGGGGTTGTTTGGTCTGAGATTACCATCAGTTGTTTTAACTGAGGTTTCAGGTTGGGCTTTTACATTCGAGTGGCTGCTTCCATTGTTAAAACAACAAAGCAAACCTGTGTGTATTTCTCCTTTCAGAGGGAAAATGATCCCCTCCGATCTTGAAAGAAGAATCCTGGAAGCCAAACAAAAGGTAAGTTTTTGCAGGGAGCCTCACCCAGCGGATGACAAGCAAAGGGCCTGCATTTCTATTTCTGCACAGTGGAGGACACGCTTTCTCTCTCTCTCTCTCTCTCTCTCTCTCTCTCTCTCTCTCTCCCTCCCTCCCTCCCTCTCTTCCTCTCTTCCTTCCTTCCTTCCTTTCTTTTTTTCATTTTCTTTTTTTTTTTTTAAGATTTATTTATTTATTTGAGAGGTAGAGTTACAGACACAGAGAGGGAGAGACATAGAAAGAGGTCTTCCATCCACTGGTTGACTCCCCAAATGGTAGCAATGGCTGGAGCTGGTCCTATCTGAAGCCAGGAGCTTCTTCCAGGTCTCCCACATGGATGCAGGGGCCCAACCATTTGAGCCATCCTCTGCTGCTTCCGCAGACCATTAGCAGGGAGCTGGATCAGAAGAGGAGCAACCAGGATTTGAACCGGCGCCTATATGGGATGCCAGGGATGCAGGTGGAAGCTTAGCCTACTATTCCACAGTGACAGCCCCTGCTTTTCTTTCTAAAAAAGGATTCAAACGTCCATGGCATGGATTCAGTCATTATGGATTTGAAATATATACACGGATATTGTGAGAATTTGCAAAGTGTTTGTGTTCTTGTGGACATTACACACACACACAAGTAAAAGATCACTTTCTCTGGTGGAAAACACCAGAATACACCTGAGTCACCCTTGTCCGTTAGTGGGACCGGGTCGTTTTTCCCCCTCCCAGTGCCTGCTTTATGCCTGTGTCCCTAAACATCTTAGCTTGCCAGAAGCAACCTACAGCCCTTTTCAGAAGTCACTTATACAAAAGGCCTGCTCGCTGTGGAAAGTCATTTATGTCCCCGGATGAGCCGCAAGTCAGATCTGTTCTTATTTTATTTTATTTCCATTCATTTATTTGGAAGGCAGAGAGAGACAAAGAGAGAGATCTTCCATCCTCTGGTTCACTCCCTAAATGGCTGCAATGACCCATGCAGGGCCAGGCTGAAGCCAGAAGCCAGGAACTCCATCCAGGTCTCCCGTGTAGGTGCCAGGAGCCCAAGCACTTGTGCCATCTTCCACTGCTTTCCCAAGCTTATTAGCAGGGAGCTGGATTGGAAGAGGAGAAGCGGAAACTCAAACCAGTGCTTATATGGGATACTGGCACCTCGGGCAGCAGCTTAGCCTGCTGTGCCACAAGGCCAGCCCCAGAGAGTTTGTTGCTAGGATTATTTGTTTAACTTTTAGTAGGAATAGTTGACAGGTCCTGGTTTAGCAGCATACCATGATTTTGTTATTATGAACTCAAAGAGTAATTACTTATTTTCATGTGTTGTTGTTGATTTGAAAGGCAGAACAGGAGAGAGAGAGAGAGATCTTCTACCCACTGACCAGGTTGGAGCCAGAAGCCTGGAACTTAATCTGGGTCTCCACGTAGGTGGCAGGAACCCAATTCCTGAGCTACTGCTTCTTTGCAGGGTGCGCGTTAGCAGGAAGCTGGACCAGGTGCAGAGCCAGGATTCTAACCCAGGCAACTCTAACATGAGCTGCGGGTGTCCCAAGCAGCCTCTTGGGACCACTGTGCCCAGTGCCCGCTCCCCATTTTTTTTTCTTCACAAGTGGTAGCTAGAGAGTCCCCTTGCTGGAACAGCTGCTAGCAACACAAGCATAAACCTTTGCTGCCACCTATAGACTGACTGTGTAACGTCGTGTTCCACAAACCAACAGGGCCAGCACTCACCGGGACACTGCTTGATCTGAACCTGTGCCGTGCTTCGGCCTTCCAGCACAGCCTTTGTATCCACTTTCCTTTAGCCGTGGCCTAGCAGGGCTGATGAGATGGATGAAAGCCCCGGCCCCTTGTTCAGCCCCACGTGGACCCTGGCCTCTGAGTGTGGTCTACACAGGACTCACAAATTGTTCTTAGTTCCTTCTCTTCCTTCTGCCTGCTCACTCCAAGGGCTGTTTGCAGTTCTAAGGCTCTTCGTGGACAGAAGGTAGACTAGAAAGTGAGCAGAGGGCATGGGAAAATCTGCCCGGAACCACTCTGTTGGGTTCACGAGGCCACTGTCCGGACTGATGGGAGGCTGGGAGAGTGAGACTCCATGAGCAACGCTTCATTCCAGGCTCCAAGGACTCAGTAACTGATTCGTGACGCTTCTCAAACTGCAGATGTGCGTGGTGGGGGGAGAGGGTGCACTGTCTTTTTAGCCAGCTTTATAAGAATCCTTGAACCCCTGGTTTATGCGATTTGGGCCTTCTCGTTGCTGTAGGGATTCGTTCCTTTCTTGGTGAGTGCCACGGCGGGCACCACCGTGTATGGAGCGTTCGACCCCCTCCTGGCTGTGGCTGACATTTGCAAGAAGTATAAGATCTGGATGCACGTGGACGTAAGTAGCCCTTAGCAGGAGGCCACTAAAGTGTCCTTGCACATTTTTCATCTGGGACCCTTGGAATGAAGTTTTTCTCCCTATTTTTTAACCTTTAGCATCTTAGTTTTGCAATGCTGATATTCAAGCTTTTTATAAAGATTGCAGAGAGAAGTGAGCACACACAGTTCACACTGGAAGCAGCCTGAAGCTGTGTACACCTTAGTATTCCTAGTGTGAGAACATTCTTAGGTTTGGGTCAGTGTTACCCAAAAGTGTAGTCTGAAGAACATTAAGCATTCATTGACAATTTGTGATAAGACTGGGAGTTTATGCCAAATCCTCACTAAGCACAAACCATCTGAAACTAAGCAGAATATTTGGTTCCACCGATGAGTCCTTTCACTGCAGGACTTTCTCAGTGAGGGAAGCTGTGAGTTGACGATATCTATTCTCAAGACCTTTAGGTTGTTGAGGGTCAGCATTTGAGTAGCACCGGCTTGGGCCCTTTTGGCGTGATACCCCGTACTCAGACCAAATGAATTCCCCTTTCCTTAGGGGCAAAGAACTTGCATAGACCAAGCTGCGTACATTTGCATTATTCCAGAATGTCTCTGCATAGGAGCTCCCAGTCTTCTTTCCCTCCCCTGATGCACACTGTGAGTTGTCCACCAGGCTCCCAGGTCCCCTTGGTTTTGCTCACAAAGACCCTGAGTCAAGGTCAGGCACCGTCAGTCTGGCTCTCGGGGCTGGAAGTCAGCTTGGCTCGGTGGTTGATTCAGGAAGAAGGTGACAGGCACCTTGGACAGTGGAGTAACTGTGCTGAGCCCACAGTGGCTGCGATCCTCCCTCCAGACTGCCCACTGAAACTGGAAGGAAGGGATCTTTTAACCAGCTTTTCATTGAAGCATATCAAGTTTACCATTTATTCATATTAACTTTAAGGTTCAGACATTCTGTAGTTAAATTAGGAAAAAAACTTTAATTATTACATAATTGAAAAATTCAATAATTTACCAAGTGTAAAAAACATGGAAACTATAACAAAGGAAAATAAGTCATGACAGATTTTTCTTTTCTTTAAAAGTATCCCAGAAAAGGAATGTTAACATTTTCAGATAAGTCTCTGTCGTGAGCTTGTTTTTCACAGAGATTCCTACACACATTCCAATCTTCCAACCTGAACACAGATTTTTCAGGAATGTGTTCAAACCACTCAGTCAGTTGGCTGGTACAGGTCTTTCCTGCATGTGTGGGGCTTTTGTATTTTGTTTTCTTGTTATCATTTGACACAGAAATCCAGAATCACACATCAATAAAATGGGATTGTGACGTTGCTTCCTCCCTCTGGGATCATCCAGTTTGTCAGAGTTTTCCTTACAAATTGGGATCTGTTTAACAGGTCCCAGCCTCAAAGCCTTGGCAACTGTGTTCTCATTTGGAGAACTTGAAAGTCACTAGGACCAATGGTGGTGGTAATGAGTTGGGGGAGGAGCTTTCTCCATCTCCAGCAGCCTGAGCAAAGGGGCCCCCGTTTGGCTTCTGATAAGCATGCAAATGTGGGATGGAGTCTGAGACCTGGGAGTGGACCCTGATTTTAACTCTGAAGGTCTAGTGCCCAGAGAAGGTGGCCAAAGGGATGATTTTCACTGGTGAGACGCTCATTAGTCTGGAAGACACCAAACTATGAGGGGGCTTCAAAAAGTTCATGGGAATTGGAATTAAATGGTAAGTTTATTGGTGCAAAAGAAGTTGGAAATCCATGCACAAGCAGAGTCCTCAAAAAGTTCATGGAAACTGTTGGGGCAGATGTTTGGGCCAGGAGTTAGATGTCAGTTAGGACACCCTCATCCCCGGTCACGATGCCGGGATAGAGTCCCAGCCCTGCTTCTGATGCAGTTTCTTGCTAACGCACACTCTGGGAGACATCAGGGATGGCCCCTGCTGCCCGTGAGGATGGAGTTCCTGGCTCCTGGCTCCTGCCCTCCCCCTCCCCCTCACATTGTGGGCATTTGGGGAGTGAACCAGTGAAGAACCTTCTACCTCCCTTTCGCTGAATGCCTACATGCCTCTCAAATAAATGAACATTTTTAAGTTCATGAAAAAGTGTATATTGGGAAAAATTATGCATGGATTCCAAAATTTTTTGTGCCAACATAACTTTTTTTTTTTATCTTTTATTTAATGAATATAAATTTCCAAAGTACGACTCATGGGTTACAATGGCTTCCCCCCCCCCATACCGTCCCTCCCACCCACAACCCTCCCCTTTCCCACTCCCTCTCCCCTTCCATTCACATCAGGATTCATTTTCGATTATCTTAATATACAGAAGATCAGCTTAGTATACCTTAAGTAAGGATTTCAACAGTTTGCTCCCACACAGAAACATAAAGTGAAAAATAATAGATGATTTTTTTAAAATGATGATGAAATCAGATCAGACCTATTGTCATGTTTAATCCCAGTGAAAGTCAAGTTGGGAATTGATAATTTCTTTTTTTGTTTTTTATTGTACAGAGATCAGTTTAGTGTACATTAAGTAAAGATTTCAATCGTTTGCACCCCCATAGAAACACAAAGTGAAATATACTGTTTGAGTACTCGTTATAGCATTAAGCCTCAGTGTACAGCACATTAAGGACAGAGATCCTACATGAGGAGTAAGTGCACAGTGACTCCTGTTGTTGACTTTACAAATTGACACTCCTGTTTATGGCATCAGTAATCTCCCTATGCACCAGTCATGAGTTTCCAAGGCTATGGAAGCCCCTTGAGTTCTCCGACTCTTATCTTGTTTAGACACGGTCATAGTCAAAGTGGAGGTTCTCTCCTCCCTTCAGAGAAAGGCACCTCCCTCTTTGAAGACCTGTTCTTTCCACTGGGATCTCACTCACAGAGATCTTTTTGCCAGAGTGTCTTGGCTTTCCATGCCTGAAATACTCTCATGGGTTTTTCAGCCAGATCCGAGTGCCTTTAGGGCTGATTCTGAGGCCAGAGTGCTATTTAGGACATCTGCCATTCTATGAGTCTGCTGAGTATCTCACTTCCCATGTTTGTGCCAACATAACTTGATCTTATAATTCAATTTTCCACAAAACTGTTGTTTGTCCCCGTGGGGCAGAAATGCAGGGCAGGGAAAGCAGCTACCATTTTCCTTTCTTGATCCCTTCCAGGCCGCCTGGGGCGGGGGATTACTGATGTCCCGGAAACACAAGTGGAAACTGAGTGGCGTGGAGAGGTACGTGCATTGTTCCTGTTAATCATGTGAAGGGCTGGAAGCTAACTGTGAAAAGCAAATGGCCGTCAACCTCCATGAGCTCTTGGAACGCAGGTGCGCCCACTCTGTTCAGTGCGTGTGTGCTCTGTCTTGTGTGGCTCCCCACAGGAGAATAGCCCAGTCCACAAATGCTCCCTTAGGGACCCAGGCCAAATGTCACTCAAACAACAGAGATTCCTACTTGGGGTGCATTCCTGGGATATCTCTACCAACTACCAACACTGTATAGACCCTGTAGTCCGTGTACGCTTCTCTAGCGACAAAAGGTATAGTCTTCAAGTTTGTTAAAAGGATAATATACACTAAAAAAAATAATAATTGTGCAAAGCAAAGAAGCATTTTGAAACAGATCAATGTTGAAGGTTTGGGTTTCAGATTTCATAAGACCAGTTCATTGAACATCGTTAATATCATCTCATGCGTTCTTTCCCATAACCACCTTTCTGTGCCGTATCTCAGACTGAGGCTACAACGCAGCCTTATGTAGGCCCTAAGCAGTAGATGGTTGCAGACACAAAGGAGGTAACATTTGATTAGCATAAACCATATTCAGGTCCAAAGGGGGAAAAAACACAGAATGCTAAACACAACCTCAGGCTCCGCTTCTGCCCCACACGCAAAGGGAGGCCGGTGCTCCCATCCCAGCGCAGCAGGTCAACTCCACTTGCGAGCTGTGACCCTCCAGGCAAGTGAGGAGGCCCAAATCCAACCGAGGCTGCCAAATGCCCACTGTGCCCCTGCCAGGCAGCCAGATGCTGCCCAGGCAAAGCTTCACACAGGCTGTGCCCCTCGACAACCTGGCACAATGTCTGGTCCACAGTGTAGCTCGGGGGAGGGGTTCGGTGACTGGGCTGGAGTCAAGGGCACCCTGCTGAATTCATGGGAAGAAGGCCGGGGAAGGGTGGGAGTGGGCCAGCCGAGGCCTGTGTCAGAGGGTGGCTGCTCCTCAGCCTGCCAGACAGGTCAAGGGCCGACCTGGGCACAGCTGGCATGTGGCACCACCGGTTCCCATGTTCTGAGTCCACGTCCCCACTTAGGCCTGGAGATGACGGCAGATGTGCCTCTCTGTGTCCCAGGTCAGCCAGTTCTAGGCCTCTGCTCCTGTTCTTTGTGGCCTCTCCCAGGCCTAATCCCCTCTATCATGAAGATCTGGGTGAAACCAGACGCTAAAGAAAAGGGCAGCAAACCAACAGGGAGAGACGATGCGCAGAAAGAGGCCACCGTGGAAGGTGTCTGCTCAGATGATCCCGACAAGAACCACACACATGTGCTTCCAAGAGAGGGGGCCTGGCCATAACACCTTCTGTTCCTTTTGCATTTCTTTCCGATTGGCCCAGAAAGACAGCATCTATTATTTCTACCTTTGATTCCACCTCCCAGCTCCAGGGCTGAACACCATGGGGCACCTTCCTCTTGAAAGCTCACAAAATTACCTACTCCGAGCCACAGAAAAATAAACACCCACACGTTTTTGTCCTCAGGACTGTAATTTGAGAGCGAGGCTCGGAACATTCATCAGGGGCCACAGGTCGTCACAGGTCGTCAAATATAACTAAATCGACTCCCTGGAGCATTTCCAGTATGAAGCCTTAACAGTGAGGGGCTGCCAGTGTTCCACTCTGAGCAGAAACCCAGAGCCGCACCCTGATCTCATCAGCGCTTCCGTGACTAAGATGACAAAACTGGCGCAAACCGTTGGGGCATGGTGTGCAGGGCTGCAAGTTCAGGAATGAAAAGTGCCTCGTGTTGGGGTATCACATCTCTCCAAGCATCACACATGCAGACGTAGGACCCACTCTAAACAGGGGAGACTTCCATGGTCAATTCTAGTCCCCAAATCCAGAGGGGCCTCGGTGATCACAGGGGAGCCCCAGATGCCATTCGCACAGAGAAATGTCACCAGTACCTGGAGCCCTGCCTGACACCCGCTTTGAGAATGAACCAAACGCTCAGAAAACAGCCCTCCTCCCCCTGCCCTGGCACTGTCATCCTGGAAGTTGTGGAGCTGAGACGGAATGAATGACAAGAGCTCAGGTGCCCCAAGTACAAGAGGACTTCCAAAAGGTCATGGAAAATGGAATTCAAAGATATTTGCAGGGGTGGTGCTATAGCGCAGTGGGTTAAGCCCCCAGCCTGTGGCATTGGCATCCCATATGGGCGCCAGTTCGGGTCCCAGCTGCTCCACTTCTGATCCAGCTCCCTGCTAATGGCCTGGGAAAGCAGTAGAAGATCTCTTAAGTGCTTGGATCCCTGCACCCATTTGGGAGGCCCAGAAGAAGCTTCTGGCTCCTGGCTTTGGATCAGTCCAGCTCCAGAAAGCTAGCTAGCTAGCTAGCTAGCTTGCTTGCTTGCTTGCTTGCTTTCCTTTCTTTCTTTCTTAAAGATTTATTTATATATTTGAAAGGCAGAGTTACAAAGAGGCAGAGGCAGAGAGAGAGAGAGAGAGAGAGAGTCAGTCTTCCATCTGCCAGTTCACTCTCCAAATGGCTACAAAGGCTGGAGCTGGGCTGATCTGAAGCCAGGAGCCAGGAGCTTCTTCCGGGTATCCCACATGGGTGCAGGGTGCTTCTACTGCTTTCCCAGGCCATGGCAGAGAGCTGGTTCAGAAGTGGAGCAGGCAGGACTCGAACTGGCACCTATATGGGATGCTGGCACTGCAGATGGCGGCTTTACATGCTATGCCACAGCACTGGCCCAACTCTGTCTTTCAAGTAAATAAAATAAATATTTAAAAAAATAAAAATGTTTGCATTTTGGTGCCAAAAGAAATTGGTGCAGTAATCGGGACACCCACATCCATACAAGAGTGCCAGGGTTTGGGTCCTGGCTCTACTTCCAGCTTCCTGCTAACGTGTTCCCTGGGAGGCAGCAGGCGATGGCTCAAGTGCTTGGGTCCCTGTCACCCTTGTGGGAGACTGGATTGAGTTCCTGGTTCTTGGCTTTAGCCTGGCTCAGGCCCAGCTCTTGTAGGCAGCTAGGGAATGAACCAGTGTTTGGAAGAGCTCTCTCTCTCTCGCTCGCTCTTTCTCTCTCTATCTCTCTCTGTCTCTCTGTAGTCTCTTCCTCTCATATCTCTACCTTTTAAGTTAATAAAAATAAATAATTTTTTCAAAACTCACTCTTTTTTTTAAAGTTTTTTTTATTGGAAAGGCAGAGTTACAGAGAGAGAGAGAAAGGGAAAGAGACAGAAAGGGGTGTGAGGGAGAGAGAGATCACCATCTGCTGGTTCACTCCCCAAATGGCTGCAATGGCCAGGGCTAGGCTAGGCCAAAGCCAGGAGCCAGGAGCTTCTTCCAGGTCGCCCACATGGGTGGCCGGGGCCCATACACTTGGGCCATCCTCTGCTGCTTTCCCAGGCACATTAGCAGGCAGCTGATGGGAAGTGGGTAGCCTGGACTCAATCCGGCGCCCATATGGGTTGCCAGTGTTGCAGGAGACTGTTTAACTTGCTATGCCACAGCGCCAACCCCAAAAATTCCCTCTAAAAAATTTGAAATCCATGCATAATTTTTATACATTTATTTCCCATGGCCATTTTGAAGACCACGTGTAGGCTTGGTTTTCATAAATTTTTTGCACTGTAAGAAACCTCTCTTTTAATTCCATTTTCCATTAATTTTGAAGTCTCTTTGCTGGTCTCTGAGCACTGTGAGTTGGTTTCCTTCAGTGCCTCCCCCTTGCTGCCCACCCTAAGGATCCCTTGCCGTGCTCCATTCTGGTGCTTGAAGCCCTGGCTAAAGATTCTGACGCATTTCCGGTTGCCCACCCACCCGGGGGCCAGAGGGTGAGAAATTGATTCAGCAGCGATTCTACCTCTGTCGTATGCAAGCTGCAGCACCAAGCACAAGATTAATGTGGTTTTGAGCCAATTCTCAAGAGGCTTAAAGTGAATGAGGAAGACTGACCGTGAACAATGGGGGGCTCCGATTCAAGGCAGAGGAAGGAAAGACCCAAGAGGGGGCAGCGAGCTAACCAGAGCCTGGAGGAATGGACGAGCTGCACTAAGCAGTCATTCCTCCCAGGGACCAGCATCAGATCACAGCATCATCAGACAAAGGGCGGAAGTGGAAAAGCATGTTCAGGCTGAGCAGCAGAGCCACAGAAGTTTGGAGGGCTGTGGCTGCCTGAGGAAAGAGGAGATGAGCTTGGCTGGAGAATGAGATGGGCTGGTGGCCGTGTCTCGGAGACCGGCAGGTGCAGGGATCCTGACCAATCACGGAACACAGACCCCTGAGCTGGGCTTCAAGGCTCCGAGCCTCTGTTACAGGCAGGGGACAAAAAACACTCAGGAGCCGTGGCAGGGTCTGAGCAGAGCCATGATGTTCTGTCACCTGTGTTTGGAAACAATGGTGGATTCGAGAGGAGAGGGGAGCCCCAGAGTGGCAGCCTGAGAGGACACAGGTCCAGGTGCAGGAGTGAGTGGGGCCAGAGTGAGATCGGTGCCTTGGGAGGCGGAAGAGAGAGACCAGATGGCCCCAAGAGATGGGGAAATGGAACAGCTAAGGAGGAATCAGGAGAGGGGAAGATGAGGATGAAGCCACACAGATGGACAGCTATAGAACTGTGTAGAATCCTACAGAACAGAACAGAATGGCAGGGGCTAGCGCTATGACGTAGCAAAAGCTGCCGCCTGCAGTGCCAACACTCCATATGGGCACCGGTTCAAGTCCTGACTGCTCCACCTCCGATCCAGCTCTCTGCTGTGGCCTGGGAAAGCAGTGGGAGGTGGCCCAAGTCCTTGGGCCCCTGCACCTGCTTGGGAGACCAGAAGAAGCTCTGTGCTCGTGGCTTCAGTTCAGCACAGCTCTGGCCAGTGTGGCCATTTGGGGATGAACCAGCAGATGGAAGGCCTCTCTCTCTCTGCTTCTGCCTCTCTGTAACTCTGCCTTTCAAATAAATAAGTAAATCTTTAAAAAAGAAGAAGGAGGAGGAGGAGGAGGAGGAGGAGGAGAAGGAGAAGAACAGAATGGCAGCATGTAGGTACCCAAAGGCACAAGGCATGTATAAATGAAATCAACAAAACTTATTTATTTATCTTTAAGATTTATTTATTTATTTGAGAGCTAGAGTTACAGACAGAGAGAGGGAGACACAGAGAGATGTCTTCCGCCTGCTGGTTCACTCCACAAGTGGCTGTAACAGCCAGAGCTGGGCCAATCTGAATCCAGGAGCCAGGAACTTCCTCTGGGTCTCCCACATTGGTGCAGGGGCCCAAGTACTTGGGCCATCTTCCATTGCCTTCCCAGGCCACCAGCAGAGAGCTGAATCAGAAGAGGTGCAGCTGGACTCGAACCGGTGTGCACATGGGTTGCCGGTGGCTTAAGCAAAGGCCCAGCCCACCACACCACAGTGCCAGCCCCAAACCAAACTTAATTAATGCTCATGTGTGTTAGGCACAGTTATAAGCACTTTACCCAAACTATTTACTGCCATTCTCCTTTATCAGCTGAGTACATCAGTACACAGAGAGGCTAAGAGACTTGATCAAGGTCACACAGCCAGGAAATGATGGAACCTGGATGTAAACCCACGTGATCCTGGCTCCTGAGCCCCTAACCCTTGACCCCTGTTACCCACGCTGTCCTCCAGGGTCATCTGCGGAGTGTTGAGATGTCTCTCAGAAGCACAGTTCTGTTCTTTCCAAGAGCACCATTCTGTTAGCATCCGTGAAGTCGTGTAGTGCAGGGGTAGAGACCTGACTTCAAGACTGCCTTTCCTTCCATTTGCCCCACCCCAGTCCTAAACGTGCTGACAGCCCGCGTCAGAGCCATGGAGTGACAGCAGGACGCGCTGAGCTGCTCAGCGGCTCAGATCAGACCCCCAGGCCGCTAAGTGTGTGCTGGCTGGCATCCCCATCCGTCACGTGGATGAGTGGCCCCTTGCCCAGCTTCTCAGTTCTCCCCAAGGCTGTCACATCTCGGCTGTCGGAGCAGGGTGAGCCCTGCCCGTGGCTCGAGCCGAGCAGGGGCAGCTGCCCTGGGCCGCTCTGCAGCTTTCCTGCCTCCCGTTGGTTTGCTCCTTCCTACGTGAGTCACATCACGAACCCTGCCTTCAAGGGTCCCTCGGTCTCTCAGAAGACTCAGGCAATGGTCATCTTGCCCAGTGAATGTGATAAGTGACCGATGGGATCCACCGTGGGGGTCGTTGGTTGGAGGCGGGGGTGTGGCAGCAGCGCAGTGGGTGGATGGGGGAGAAGGTGAGGGAAGTTGTGCGGGGCTGCAGGGACAGTGAGAGGTCTGGGGCCTTGAAGAGTCAGTGGTGCCCAGTCAAGAGAAGCAAAGGTGGCATTGCAGGAAGATGAAACAGCATTACAGGGCCCCGGAGCAGGAGGCTAGAACGTTCTGGAAACAAAAATATAACCCAGAGTGATGAAACTGGGTAAAGGAAAGCAAAGGGAGATGAGGCTGAGCACAGAGCCGAGGTATCCCCATGTGAGTGCCAGTGTGAGTCCTGCTGCTCCAGCTCTCATCCAGCTCTCTGCTAATGCACCTGGGAAAGCAGCGGAAGATGGCCAAGTGCCTGGGCCCCTGCACCCACCTGGGAGACCCAGAAGAAGCTCCTGGCTCCACCCTGGCTGTTGTGGTCATCTGGGGAGTGAACTAGCAAATGGATGATTTATTCTCTCTCTCTCCCCCCTCCATGTCTGTAATTCTGCCTTTCAAATAAATAAGTAATATTTAAAGAAAAAAAAAGCAGCAACAGTGGGCCACACAACACACTCCTTCTGCCTGCCCATTGATCTGCCCACACTGGCCTAAGGTGGACCCTGGATGAGTGATCCTGGTCTCTCCAAGGGGCTCTGAGACCACCTAGAAGCAGAGATTGGGAGCGGCTCATGGGGACACGTGCTCACTCACCTCCTCAGTGGGTGAAGAGACGCTGCACACTTGAGTGTCTACCCTTTGCTGTGTCAGTTGAGCGCCATGCACGGAGCCTGCCATGGGGTGCCACCCACTGATGGTATTTGTCTCTTTTAGGGCCAACTCTGTGACGTGGAATCCACACAAGATGATGGGGGTCCCACTGCAGTGTTCTGCTCTCCTGGTTAGAGAAGAGGTACGTCTTTCCCGACCGCGTCCCGGGAACCGGGGGTTGGCCTCTCTGTCCACAGTCGGCTTCCTCCCCAGTTGGGCACGTCATCAGGTCTTCCAGGTCAGGTTCATTTCCGGACCCCTGCCTGGAGAAGACGGGACTGTGCCTGCAGGAGGAGAAAGGCCTGTGGCTCTCAGTGTTCAGAGTGTGAACTTAGACAAATCTCCGTGTTTTATATGAGGCGCTCAGCTGTGTCCACTAGCCCTTCATTTAGACTCTCTTCCTGTTGTTCTTTCTGAAAAAAGTAAATTCCAGTTTTATTATTTTTTTTCTGGAATGTGAGAAGATGTAGTTTTTACCATAAAAATACGCATAATATAGGGTTAAGGGTACTGTTAGGATTCAGTTACATATACACATATGTACACAGATACTTCAAAAATTTGTGAAAAGTGGAATTAAGAAGCAAGTCTATTTTGGTGTAGAAAATTTTTGAAATTCATGCATAGTATTTTTCCGTGAGCTTTTTCCTGAAGACCTGTGTATGTCTGTGTTTGTGTATAATTATGTAACTCGTACTGAGATGCTGTCCCATTTAGTGATGCCATCTCATCACACAAGGCACCTGCGTGTGTATTAACCAGCAAAGAGAAGAATCAGCAATGGCCACTTGCATGCAACACACTTCTACCAAAGGGAGCCATTCTCTGCAGAGGCTCCCTGGTGGCCGAGGTCTCTCTAGCTCCCTCTAGTGGTGCTGGGTCAGAGTTGCAGCTCCTCGCACCTGTGTTGATTTTGTTGTGACCCAAGCAAGGAGCATCAGTTTATCATTTAAAAATTATCTCACTAAACTTTATCTCATTAGAATTAATAAGGCAACCCCCAATTAAAGGGATTTATGAATATTTATTTTTATTTACTTTAAAAATATTTTGATTTTTGAGGAGTGGGCTTTTGGTCGAGCAGTAAAGGCAACCGGGGAGATGCAAGTCCCACATCTGAATGCCTGAGTTCAATTCCAGGCTCCAGCTCTTGACTCCAGCTTCCTGCTAATGTGGTTCCTGAGAGAAAGCAGTGATGGCTCAAGTAATTGAGTCCCTGTCACTCACATCGAAGACCTGGATTGAGGTCCCAGCTCCTGACTTCAGCCTGGCCTACCCCCAACTGTTGTGGGAATTCAGAGAGTGGGTCAGCAGATGGAAGTTTGCTCTTTCTCTCTCTCTCTCTGTCCCCCTCTGTCTCTTCTTCACAAGTAAATAAATAAATTAATGAAATAAGCCATCATTGCTGCTAAAAAATATAAGTTTAAATGTTTTTGCTTTTTCCTAATTATAAAGTTAGTCTGCAATTGTTTATATTATTTGTTGGAGAGATAGAGGGGGAGAGAAAGATCCTACATTCTGATTTACTCTCCAGATGTTTCCAATGGCTGGGGCTGGGCCAAGCCAAAGCTGAGAGCTGGGAACTCCATCTAGGTCTCCCACATGGGTGGCATGGACCCAGCTACTTGAGCCATCACCATTGCTTGCAAGGATCTGTATTAATACGAAGTTGGAATCAGGACCCAGAGACAAGAATCAAAGCCAAGCACTTGGATGTGGGATACAGACATTCTAGACAGTGACTTAACCACCAGGCAAAATACTCACCCCAAATTATTTTAGAAAATTGGAGCGAGACAGAAAATATCAATAAACTTACAATCACCCAAAATTTTATCACTTGGAGATAATATGTGACTCTGTTTTATAACATCTTCCCCCACAGTTTTTCTGGGATATATATTTAAAATATATAAATAATTACTATCATTTATGTCATATTTACATTTGTTCTTTTTTTACAACTAAACATTATGTTGTGAATATAATGTTCCAAACCATGCTTTTTAACGACCTCATAATATTATATCACATAATTTAATGAACCATAGACCCTTCGGATTTAGACACTAGCCAATATTTTACATAGTAGCTTGATAAAATCCTTAAATGTTTATCTTTGATCCCATTCCTGATTATTTTCTTAAAATAGATTCCTCAAAGTGGGATTATTGGGTCAAATTGTGCTGTGTATACAATTTCTATGGTTCTATAGCTCTGCTTGTCACCTACAAATATAAATAGCAGGCCACCTGTGTCTCCATCAGAGCCGTTAGTAAAAATCTTGATGTGGCCTGGAAGACAAGACTTTCCTCCTCAATGAGATGGCTACATGGAAAAATCAACCTTTCAGACTGGGTGCCCGTCCGTTAAAAATCCCCTCTGTTCCAGCTCATGCAACAACTGCGGCCATATTACTTGAAAGGAGAAAACAGACTTTTGCCATTTAGAATTCAGCCAGCTGGTGCCAGGGGCTCCTGTCCATCCTTACAGACCAAAAGGGAAAGGTGAGCAGGTGCCAGCGGTTCGGCAGATGTGGAGCCGAGTCGATGACTGCATGGCAGGGACCCACTGGTTGGTCCTTAGATGCTACCCAGGACCGAGCCTGGTGGCCTGGTGCCTTCACCCTGCTCTACTCTCCACACTCATCGCTGTTTTGAGTGAAACACAGCAGCTTTTTACGGCTTCAGGTAAGAAGGATCAGGAAGGCAGTGACAGCATCAACTGAGATGGTGAACCACCTCCACGCAGCTCAGCTGTAGTCTTTAAAGACTTACTGATTTATTTGAAAGTTCGAGTCACCGAGAGACAGGAAAGAAAGCGAGAGACTGGGAGATCTTCCATCTGCCAGTTCACTTCCCAGATGGCCACAACAGCCAGGACTGGGTCAGGTCAAAGCCAGGAGCCTGGAACTCCATCTGGGTCTCCCACGTTGGTGGCAGAGACCCAAGTACTTGGGCCGTCTTCCACTGCTTTCGAACAGGGAAACTCTTCAAGAGGATTGCAGCAAGGCCTGGCTCTGAGGCCCAGTGTGGGGCGCTCACATCTCGATCGGACAAAGCAGGCTTCTTTCTCACACGGACGCTTTGGTGGACTTGTGAAAAGGACATAGGAGTTTTGGTTGTACTCTGCAGGGGCCACAGTGAACAAAAAGACGGATACCATCCAGCAGGCGTTTAGCTAAGCAGTTAAGATGCCTGTGTCCCACTTCAGAGTGCCTGGGTTCAATTCCCAGCTCCAACTCCTGACTCTCACCTCCTGCTAACGTGGGCCCTGGGAGGAAGCGGTGATGGCTCAGGTAACTGGATTGCTTCCCCTCAAGTGGGAGGACTAAGACTCCTGGCTCCCAATTTTGGCTCTAGCCTGGCCCCAGTCATTGACAGTATTTCGGGAGTGAACCAGAGGGTAGGAGCTCTGTCTCTCCATCTCTTTATTCTCTCTCTCTCTCTCTGCCATATATAAATATATACTTTTTCATAAATATTTGCATATATATATATGCAAAATGCCATTCTGAAAGCATGACTGGAACACAGAAGTGGAGCCCAGCCTGAGAAAGGGCGTCTCCCACTCTCCTCTGTCTGCACCACACCTGCAGGGCTGTGCTTTGCCTGGTGCCAAATTGGCACCCCATCAAGCTGGAGCTGGACAGTGGGAGAGCAGTTGGTAAATATGTAAGAGGGGACCGGCGCCCTGGCTCACTTGGTTAATCCCCCACCTGCGGCGCCGGCATCCCATATGGGCACTGGGTTCTAGTCCTGGTTGCTCCTCTTCCAGTCCAGCTCTCTGCTGTGGCCTGGGAGGGCAGTGGAGGATGGCCCAAGTGCTTGGGCCCTGCACCCCATGGGAGACCAGGAGGAAGCACCTGGCTCCTGGCTTTGGATCGGTGCAGCACGCCCGCCGTAGCAGCCATTTGTGGGGTGAACCAATGGAAGGAAGACCTTTCTCTCAGTCTCTCTCTCTCACTGTCTAACTCTACCTGTCAAATAAAAAAATAAATAAATAAAAATGTAAGAGGGAGGGTTGAAAGAACTGAGTCTAACCAGGGGAGGAAGGAGTAGGGGAGGGCTGAGAGATCCGTATCTTTCCCGAGGCACCAAGGGTTGGTCAATAACACTGGGTGCACAGATTTGGTGGCCACGTCTGAACACATGGTGGATTTTCAGGTCCGCTTTGAGGTCAATAAAAGGACTTCTTTTCTAAAAACATCAAGCTGTTCCACAGTAAGAATATTTTACACCCTGGAAGAAGTGATGGAACAGAGACTGGACAACCACCTGCTGGTAACCGTAGAGAAAGGATTCCCTTACTGGGGAGGGTGAGGTAAATGAGCTCTACCCTCCCTTCCCAATGCAGAGTTTATGATGCCTGGACAGCACTTTGTTAAGTGGAGTCCCAGGCCTTACAGCATTCTCTAAGATGGTGATAAATATTCTGTAATAAGAGAGTTCTCAAGTTTAAAAAGGTCGAGTCACATGGGATTAGAGATGAAAAATCAACTCATTGTTTTGGGGCTTATTGGAGCCTTTAATGTGCTGATATGAATTACAATACCCAAAGAGAAACAATTTATGAAAATGGAGCTTCCTGAATTTATTTAAGCATGAAACTCTCTTTCTGTACAGCAACACAAATGTTTTAAGATAGCTTGGCACTATGATAGGCTTGCTTTCCTTTTTTATAATTTTTATTTTGTTTCTTTATTTGAAAGGCAGAGAGACACAGAAAGAGAAAGACAGAGACAGAGAGAGATCATCCATCTGCTGGATCACTCACCAAATGCCCACAATAACCAGGGCTGGGCAGACTGAAGTAGAAGCCTGGAACTCCATCTGGGTCTCCCACGTGGTGTGCATTAGCAGGGAGCTGGGACTGAAAGTGGATCTGGGCCCCAAGCCCAGGCACTCTGATACGGGGTGTGGGTGTTCCGTGTAAGGTATTAACCACTACGCCTAACCCCTGCCCCAGATCTGTAGCTCTCCAGTGGCTCAGAAACAGGATAGTATCTCACTGAGGCTGTCTGTATGAGGAACTCCATCGCTTTTGGCTGTTTGACAGTAATGAGACTGGAGCTGTCCAACTTTTCAGAGTTCAAGTGCTTTGAGTTGCTTCTCCTGTCCCAGCTGCAGCTGGTCTGACCCGGCCATCACTCCACACTTCCTGAGGTGCTGTCCCTCAGAGTTCATGGCATCTGTTTGTGAGCTTCCTGCTTAGGGGGAGGAACGGTACAAAGCCTCCATAACCAGGGAACAGAATAGGAGCCCCTGTTGTGCCGCAGTTGTCACATCTTATTGGGCTTCAAGTGAATTTTCTTTTTCATATGCAGGATGTTTCTACTGCTCTAATACACATATATAATATTTAATTTCTCTTATTCTTGAAAATAACTTAATGGATTCTAATGAATATGAAGTTTCACCTACGAGGTGAAACCCAGTTCCATTGTCTTTGCAAACCGAGTTAGTATTCCAGTTGCAGCGCATTGCATTTTAGTTCGGATAATTTGTAAAAAGTGTTCTTGCTTCGAACTTCAGCTACGTGATCACATGCTGGTCTCCCCTTGTCACGAGTCACAAGAGAAACAAAAGCTAAATGCCAAAGCTTCTGTAAACTTACACTTATGTAACAGATAACAAAAAAGCCGAAGGCTTTCGGTGGCTTGTGACAAACTGAAACGTGGCAAGGCTTCTAGAGACTGGCACGGCTGTTGGGGTCAGAGAGCATCATTCACTGTTCTTTGTGGACAGCTCCATCACCTTGTCACCCATTTCCATAGTGGGGTTCTGGATTAGGACAAAGTAACAGTCACTGACAGTGAAACACTCCACGGCTGTCATAGGCAACCAGGCACAAAAGTGCAGTACCGACACTCTAGAGAGAAGAAGGTAACATTTGCAATATTGGCTATTTAAATTCGTCTCAGTACTGCAGTGTCTGTTTCTTAGACTTTGACACATAAAAATGAGAGCAATGAAAAAGCTATGATGTTCGAAGAGAACTCAAACTTCCAGAAAATGCTTGGACTAGATAGGGATAGAAAGCAGTAGAACAATAGTTTACTGAAAATAGTGCACAACAAATGAGTTTGGAAAATACGTTGATCCCAGTAAACCCAACCACCAGAAAGTTCTCCCAAAGAATGAATTCTTTATGTTAATGCAAATGCCTTCTCTAAAAAGGAAGACTAAAAGCATTAACTATGTTATTATTAACCTCTGAAAATACTCAGCCTTCTGCTATTTATCTTGTAGGCTTGACCTATCCCAGTCGTCTGGGCCATCCTGTCCAGATATTTGTCTCATCCTTTGTCATATTTTTTAGCCTTAACATATTCTTTTTCTAAGAAACAAATGTCTTTTTTTTTTAAATTCCTTCTCTTAATAATTCCCACCACAATGTGAATCGATTGGGTAGTCAGTGGATTTTCCTGAAATTTCTTTTTTCTCTTTTTTAGGGTTTGATGCAGAGTTGCAACCAGATGCACGCTTCCTACCTCTTTCAGCAGGACAAACACTACGACCTGTCCTACGACACCGGGGACAAGGCCTTGCAGTGCGGGCGCCACGTGGATGTTTTCAAACTATGGCTCATGTGGAGGGCAAAGGTGATCCCAGAACATGCGATCCACGGCAACTAAAAACAGAAACTTGATTTGGTGGCATTGAAAAACTGATCCCCAAAGTGAAAGCTACTTACCCAAACTAAGTTTTAGTTAATGAAATTTAAAAAATTTTTTTTGCTTTATTTACTTGAGAGGCAGAAAGACAGAGACAGATGGACAGACTGGCTGACAGAGAGAGAAAGAGAGAGTGTCTGTCCACTGGGTCACTCCCCAAATGCCTGCAACAGCCAGGGATAAGCAAGGCCCAAGGCCAGGAGCCAGAAACTCCATCTGGGCCTCCCACAAGGGTGACAGGGACCCTAGTTCTTGAGGACACAAGTCCTGGCCTCCACATTAGCAAGAAGTTGGGAGTCAGGAGCCAGAGCCTTATGTCAAACCCAGGCACTCTTACAGGATACATTGGCTTCTTAACCTCCAGGCCAAATGCCTTGCTCTGCTACTGGGTTTTATTAATCCCCTAACTCTTGGTGTACCCAATGATTGGTCACCTGGGTAGCTTAATGCAGTCTGAAAACCTGTGTTCAGAGAACAGAAATGGAAGTCAGAAGCTCACCATAGTAGTTATCTTGGACATTTGAAAGAGTGACCTCTAGTGATAAAGTTTTTATTTTAAAACTCCAGAAGTACGGGTCACCTCCTTTTATGCAGGTTCTCTAATTTACCCCAGAATGTAACTGTAGCAGACCCCTCCTCTCCTGGAAGGTCAACTCCATAACTAACCATCTACAGTACTGGCCGGACCTACTTGTTGCCTTCCAAGGTCATAGATTTGGGTTCAAATGGGGGCTGGTTGGAAAGGTGAAAGATGGCATTTTCAACTTTGACCAGATTCCTAACTTGAAAGTGTTCCCACCTGGTTTCCTGTGTTTCCTACGAGAGGCAATGACCAGGGTAAGCTGTCCATGTTGCAGAAACCTAGCGGCAAAAATATTCCAGGGACACCTGCCTGGGGTGAAGGAGAAAGGGAGAAGTGAAAGGGACGCGGGTGTGCCCTGGGCTCCTGGAGGTTTGAGAGGAGCCGCACACAAATGCTCTGAGCTTTCTCAGGGGCTTACAAATGAGGCAGCAGGCTCATTCCTACAGGAACAAGCAGACAACTCGGTCCCCAGGAGGGAGGCCGGCAGGATGGGGCCTGGGAAAGGTTCTCTCCTTGGGTCTATGTGAAGAGGCAGGGGCCTTGTCTACAGCAACAGATCTAGCTACTGTTGTCTGTAGAGGTGGCCCAGGTAAACTGAGCTGCCTTAAGCAGTTCAGATGGGAGGAGAGTGGGTAACAGGAACAGGAGGGGGTTTGGGAGTCAAACAATGCAATCTCCAAGTCGTTTTGGGAATCTTTCTTAAATCCATTCCAGGAACAAGAGGCAGTTGGAATAGAAGGACGGTCTTGCTTAATGCAGCGATAACCCATAGGTGGTGTCCAGGGGTGACTGAACTTCATGTCCTTCGCTTAAGACTCTATAGTACAAGGGCTCTTCAAAACACTCATGCAAAATGTGTATTATGCAAAAAACTACGCATGAGTTTAAAAAAATTTGCATCGCATTAACTTTTATTTCACTTATTTCAAAGATTTATATATTTCACTGGCATTGTAGTTCAGCAAGTTGAGCTGCTACCTGCAGTGCCAGAATCCCATAAAGGCACCTGGCTGCTGGATTTGTTTATTTATTTGAAAGGCAAAGATACAGAGAAAGGGAAAGAAGGAGAGAGAGAGACCTTCCATCCACTGGTTCACTCCCCACATGGCCACGATGGCCAGAGCTGGGCCAGGCTGAAGCAAGGAGCCTGGAACTCCATTGGAGTCTCCAATGTGGGCGGCTTGGGCCATCCTCGGCTGCCTGCCAGGCACATTAGCTGGGAGCTGGATCAGAAGCAGAGCAACCTACTGTGCCACAATGCCGGCCCTTTATCCCACTTTTTATGAACTTTTTAAAGTCCCCTCAAAGTGTTTGCCCCAGCTGAATTTTCTCCAAGTGGTGCTAAGCATCAGTCAGCCAGTTGTAGTGAGGCAAAGGTGTGCAGTGGATTCCTGTCCCTTGAGCTGGCAGGGGCACTCTTTCTGTTTTATTTTTATTTTTTTTAAGATTTCTTTATTTACTTGAAAGAGTTACACACAGAGAGAAAGAGAGGCAGAGAGAGAGAGAGAGAGAGAGAGAGAGAGAGGTCTTCCAACCGCTGTTTTCACTCTCCAATTGGCTGCAATGGCTGAAGCTGCATCAATCTGAAGCCAGGAGCCAGGAGCTTCTTCCCGGTCTCCCATGAGGGTGCAGGGGCCCAAGGACTTGGGCCATCTTCTACTGCTTTCCCAGGCCATAGCAGAGAGCTGGATCGGAAGTGGAGCAGCCAGGTCTCGAACCGGCGCCCATATGGGAAGCTGGCACTGCAGGCAGCAGCTTTACCCATTATGCCACAGCACCAGCCCCATCCTTGATGTTTTGAAAATGAAAGCTGAGAACTTGGTGAGGACATATGACCTGATCTCCACCAGTCATGAGACTCACTCTATTGCATTTGAAAAAATAAAAATAAAAATGAATATATAAATTGTTAGTATATTCCCAATCTGTTTTGAAATGGGCAAGCTTTATTTCATTGTTGGGAATTATAAAATAGTAGATGTAAATATCAGGTAGTGGGGCAGGCATTTGACCTGGCAGGGAAGCCGCCAGTTGGGGCACTCCCATCGTTCTTGGAGTGCCTGGGTTCAAGTCCAAGCTCCACTCCTGTTACCAGCTTCCTGCCAAAGCATACCCTGGGAGGCAGCAGGGGATCAAGCAGTTGCAATCCTGCCACCCACAGGGGAGACCTGCATGAGGTCGTGGCTCTCAGCATTTGGGGAGTGAACCAGTGGATGGGCTCTCTCTCTCTCTCCCCCATAACCATCTCTCAAATTAAAGAATAAATATCAAGTAGTCAGTGAAGAAAGACTGACCTTCTAAAAGCGAATAAGCCCTCTTACTTCAAGCATCGCTCTTTTGCCTCTGTTTCCTGTGTTTCTGTGTTTTATTGAGATGGTGCTCTCTAGCTATGCACACTAAGACACTTCTTTAACGCCTCGTCTGTTCCTGCTGCTCCTCTCCCATCTGAAGCCCCGTCTCTGTGGTATAATAGCCCGCTGGTTCTTAGAGAAACAACTGGGAGGACACCAGGTGGGAATCGGAGGAGCAGGTGAAGCCGGGGATGAAGGCAGAGAGTCCTGTTACCGAAGAGCTGAGATCCAGGCACTGGGCAAGGAGAAGAAAAGAGAGGGAAAATAATGATAGCAGCTGTGTTACTTGGAAACGCATGTATTTTAACATTTACTTGCGAGACTGAGAGAGAGAGAGAGAGAGAGAGAGAGAGTGTTTCCATCTGCTGCTCCACTTCCCAAATGTGTACAGAAGCCAGGGCTGCGATAGGTAGAATCTGGGAGCCAGGAACTCAATCCAATTTTCCCACATGGGTAGCCAGGGACCCAAGTACTTGAGCCGTCAGCCACTGCCTTCCAGGGTGCACATTAGCAGGAAGCTAGAATTGGAAACAGAGCCAGGACTTGAACCCAGGTGCTCTGACACGGAACTGAGGTGTCTTAATCCATATCTTAACCATTAAACCAAATGTCTGCCCCCCCAACATGTTCTTTTAGTTCCTGATGCAAATTTTCCAGCATCGAGATGTCTGAATGATAACATCTCTGATTTGGCTTTCAATCTGAAGCTGCACTTGTTTGTAAGCTGCAATGGTAGCAATCATTAGAGTGGTTGGCTCATGAAGTCTACAGCAGAGGTGAGGTAATTCTCCTCCATCAAGAGCACACTGGTGGTGCCTGCCAAGGAGGGCACATCATCGTCATCTTCTCCTTGTGGGAAGAACCATGGAGGAGTTGGCTGTGGTGGCTCGCCTGTGATGGCCCTTTTCGCTTGCCCACAGGAAGGAGGAGACTTTGGGGAGGAATAACAAGGAGGAGGAGGAGGAGGAGCAGGCATTGACCTGGTCAACTCCAGTGATGCCATGTTCAAGTTCATCCACATTTCCTTCTTAGCAAGATGAAGCTTGGAAAATGCTAACCCAGCACACGTGACTATTCTTCAAACTCATCTGTTAATAACTAATGGAGCTAAATTCACTGGCGACGGCCATCATGTTAAGTCTAAGATAACTTGATTAGATTTATGCAAAAAAAGAGCCTTCTGATGTGGAATATTAAGGGGCATTCTAAATGGCCGCGTGATGTATAAGCCTGTTGTTGGCAAAAGCAGGGTGCCTGCCTTTGTCTCTTCTTATTGAATAGGTCTTTCATTCGTCTGCATTCTGTTAGAGGATCCTAAGACTTGACAGTTATTTTCCAAGTTAAAAGGTTTCCTCAGTGGTTAAAACTTGGTGGCAGACAAAAATAAATAGAGAAAAACTTCCTAATTAATCCACTTATCTTAGGCCTGCAGGCACGGCTTAATATGTAACTACTGAGATTTCACAGTAAACCTCTCTGTGTGGGATTATGAAAACGGGCAGCTTTCCCTGTAGTGTTTTTAAAATGTGGATAACGGGGAGTGAGCATTTCGCCTAGCAGTAAGACACCTGCATCCCACATCAGAGCGCCTGCGTGGGTTTGAATCCCTGCTCTGGCTCCTGACTCCAACTTTCCGCTAATGCAGGCTCTGAGAGGCAGCAGGAGTTAGCTCAAGTAGTTGGGTACCTGAGATCATGTAGGAGATATAGACTGAATTCCCAGCTCCCAGCTCTAGCCTGGCGCAGCCTCAGGTATTGCAAGCATTTTGGAAGTGAACCAGCAGGTGGGAGCTCTTTCTTTCTCTCTCTGTGTGTCTCTCAAATAAATATATTTTTAAAACATGGATAACAAGGGAATTGGCAAATACCTAAGGAGACAAAAGGAAAAATGATTAAAGGGAAACTGACATGAAGCATCCTTTGTGAGTTATTGAATTGTTCACTTTCTCCCTATAATAATGATTTTAATAGATATTAATGTTAAGTAGATTTGAATATTAGTGAATAACAGGTGCATATTTATATTGGGATATTAATAGATGTTTACTACCCATTTAAATAAGTAGATATCAATCTTTAAGTGGATTTAATCAGTAGATATTGAGTAGATATCAATTTTAATAAGTAGATGTTAATAAGTGGATGCATCTGTTATTTGTTCTTTTTTTTAAAGATTTATTTTATTTATTTGAAAGATAGAGTTACAGAGAGACGTAGAGACAGAGAGAGGTCTTCCATCCAATGGTTCACTCCCCAGATGGCCACAATGGCCGGAGCTGGGCTGAACCAAAGCCAGGAGCCAGGAACTTCTTCCAGGTCTCCCACATGGGTGCAGGGGCCCAAGGACTTGGGCCATCTTCTACTGCTTTCCCAGGCCACAGCAAAGAGCAAGTGGAGCAGCCGGGATTAGAACTGGCGAATCCATCCTGTCTGGTCACAAGGTGACCTTTGAACAGCATGATAGAGAAGTAGGATTTCAGGCAGCAGTTCTGGGAGAAGGGTATTACAGAAGAGCGTGAAGCAAGAGCTCTGGTGCACAGTCGAGACTGCTGGAGTCTAGATTGACAGAGGGGGATTAGGGAGCCAGATTTCTGACGGGGAGTAAAAGGCTTGAGCAAAAGTGATAGCAGTGGCCATCAGGTTAGCAGCAAGGGAGCCAGGGGTTATTTGTCATGACCTGTGCAGAGGTCTTTAGGGTAAGTGTGACCCAGGTATCCCAGTGGACGCAAGCTGCCAGCTCAATCCTTACCAATCCTATGTCCTTGGCACCCACCTGCTCATGGAGCTCAAGGCACAGGTGCCGGCACCCACATTCAGCGTCTACCCAAGCCCTTCCTCAGGACCGTCCGCAGCCATCAGCCTCTCAGCCAACGTGCTGGGGCAGCGAGCTCCAGAGAAAATACTTTCTGAGCCCACCAGACTTCTTCAGGGCAGTTTGTTCTTAAACTTGTATCAGACGTGACAAGCCACCAGGCGATGCTGGGCCACCCTTTCGATTGAGAGGATGAGACCCAGTGTGGACAGGACCACCACCCACCTTCTCTCCATTACCATTGTCCCCTCTGGTTTCCATATTGCGTGCATTGCTGGTCGGCCCATTTGAAATGCTGCCTTCACGAGCAGTTGGTGTCTTTCTGAGCTTCCCATAGTTCTCAGTAAATGCTGAAGGAATCAGAGGAAAGCCAGGGAGGAAAGCCATTACCTGTGTGTCCTGACGTCAGCTAAACAGCTCCAGTCCGAGCCCACTGTGCTGTTTTTCATAGGTCCGGATCTAGGGCTTCCAGAGCTGGAAATGCAAGCTGTCTGGGATAATGGCCAGAGGTCGTTTTTCCATAACCAGAAGAGACCTCTAGAAACTTGGCAGAATGACAGGCTGTGTGTGTGCGTGTGCTCCTGCCATTCATTCATCCATGGTCAACTGGTAGTCATCGAGCCCCTACCCTGATTGTCCTATCATGGGGGCACCTGAGTGAACAAAGGTGGGGCCTGGCAATTGAAAGTCCCCAAGATGGGCCGGGGCATAGCAGGCATCGTGGGGGTCCCTGGTGATGCTTCCAACCCGCGGGAGGAGAAGAGCCCTCCTACTATCAACGACTTCCATGATCACTGCTAGGAACAGCAGAGGCAGATTTTCCCCTGGAGTAATCAAAATAGTCGCCTGGGGACTGGAGGCTCAGAAAGAACAGGCGTATGCTGTGGACAGCAGTGAAGAACGGGCCTAAGCACACCTGTGGGGAGAGCATTCGAGGGAAAACAGGTGCCGGAGAAGCACCCAGAACCTCCTTGTACAGCACAAGTGCCGGAGCAATGCAAGACACAGGCAGCCTGCAGAGGGGCTGTCCCTGTCCCAGCGCCTGGGAACCTGCCCTCACTCGGCCTGCCCAGTGAGCTCTGTTCTTCTCTTCCCCAGGGGACTGCTGGGTTCGAGGCACATATTGATAAGTGTTTGGAGCTGGCGGAGTACTTATACAACATCATAAAAAACCGAGAAGGCTATGAGATGGTGTTTGATGGGAAGGTAAGGATTCGGATTTCTATCATCTCCAGCAAGTAAGTCAGTTGCAACTCTTAGCACTGATATTTTTGGATGGAAACAATGTGCTACTAGGTAAGTGGGACCATCCCCAAGGAGAACCAGCAGACGATGGGGCAGCTCTTTGAGCCGGAATAAAGCTCAAACTCAAAAATAAGAACTCTCTAGAATGTTGGGGTAGTGAAGCACTCCAAAGGCAGTTCCTGATTTAAATAGTAGGAAGGGTGTTCTGAACCTGCCAAATGACTAGCTCTGAAATGTCCTTGGAGTTTTCAAAATGGCCCGTGTCGGGTGGAAATAAACCTCATTTTCCTCTCTGTAGCCCCAGCACACAAATGTCTGCTTCTGGTACGTCCCTCCAAGTCTGCGTGTTCTGGATGACAATGAAGAGAGAATGAGCCGCCTCTCGAAGGTAAGGGCCGGAGCCCCTCTGGCCTGTGTGTGTACTGGGCCTTAGGGTACACGTGGTCCTCATCCCAAGTGCACAGGTATGTAGGAGAAATCTGTTCATGGTGCATGGGCCACTCCCTTCCTGGGCTCCTGCAGACACTGTGTACAACGCTGGTATATTCAGATGTTCAGCGACTCTATCTCTTGAGTCCAGAGAGGGAGTTTGTGATGGTTTCAAATAAGCAATCGAGTGACAATCTGTCTTTGCATTCACAAAGCATCAACAATTGTCTCTGACATTGACTGATCTTCCAAGCAAAACGAGTGCTCAGTTATGAGCTCCCCAGAGACTTCAGATGCCAGGAATGGTTAGAGAGCCAAGCTACTGCTGACCTCCAGGAGGTGCCAGGGCAAGGCTATTCTGTGGGGTCTGTAGGGCTGTGGTGACCCCCAGAAAGTAACAGGTCAGGGACAACTGGCAATAGCCACTGTTCAGGGTGTGTATTGTGTCCCAAGCCCAATTTTTATTAAAATTTTTGTTTATTTGAAAGGCAGGGAGATACACAGAGAGAAGTCTGTCATGAGCTGGTTCTCTACTCAATGTGTATAGCAACCAGAGATGGCCAGGAGCAGGGAACTCCATCCAGGTCTCCCTTGTGGGTGGTAGGGACCCAACTGGAGCCATCACCTGCTGCCTCCCAAGGTGTGCATTAGCAGGAAGTTGGGATCAGGAATGGAGCTAGGATTGAACCTAGGCATTCTAATGTGGAAATCAGGCACCTTAATCACCACACCAAACTACACCTTTAATCCTTAAACCCACCCCTTAATCACTATGCCTGCCCCCTCCCCAGATTCAACTTTCATTAGGCCTTAGGCCACTTAACATCTCACAGCAACCTGATGAGGGAAAGCACTGCTATGCAACAGGGCATTAAACAAGAAGAAGATGGACAAGAACCTGTCCCATACTTGTCACTTATTCAAAGCCTTATTTATAAGGAATTGCCTTGACTTTTAAAATAAAAGATGACACTGTTAGAGAAGATTACTGTCAAAAACATGGAAAGCCTGTTGTTGATAGGAAAATGAAGACACAGTGGGAAAAAAAATCGAACTTCCTCCAAATCACCCAGAAAGTCTGACTCCAGAACTGGAGGGCCTAAGGTTTAAGTTCTGTTGTGTCAGTAAGGACCGGTTATCCTCTCCTGTTCCCAAGAACTATTAATACGTCTTATGAGGCACACCAAGGGGAGGTAAACGCAGGGCTCATCTCCCATGGTGATGTAGGAGTGGGAAACTGGAGATGATGCTGTGTGTTTGAATCGCGGAGAGCGGCTTGCTCGGTTGGTTGGGTTCTGTTTTTCATTTACTGTAAAAGAGGAAACTGTCTCAAGTCACTTCCTGGCATTGGTTGGGCTTCTCGCCCTCCGTGGAGGAGCTTGGGCTACTTCCCTAACCTCAGAGCACATCATTTGCTTCCGTAAAATGAAGAACAGGACTTTGTGAAAAGCTCATCAACGTGAACTTCTAGTCCAAAGTAACTCAGGATCAAACTCTTCATCGGAAGGAAACTTACACACAGTCGAGTGAGGTCTTTAAACCAAGTCTCCCAATTACAGTAATGGTTTGTAATGTTGGCTAGACCTTAGAATCATCCAGAAGCTTTATGAAAACACTGGTGACCACGTTTTATCCAGCTTGTTCTCGAGTGACCTGGGAATGGTTCTGAAAAGTTCTCCAGGTTGATCCATTGTGCAGCTCAAGTTGAGAACCACTGACCTAGAAGAACACATGGAAGGAAAGTTCTAGAAATGGGATCCAGGGTGCATGTGTCTGAGATGGGAGAGGTGGTGGTTAGGTTCGAAGTTTTAGTGAAGTTGGTTCATTCCAGGAAATCCAGCCCAAGAGGTATGAGGGAAGGAGTAGGGGTCACATTGGATTAGGTTATCGATAAAGCAATTCAAGGTGGGTGGAGTTCTGCTGTGATTTGAAAGGAATAAGTTCATATTTCTTCCTAGAATGTTTATGGTGTGGCTTCTCTATAGTGTCAGTTACCTTACTGACTTCCTTTAATGAGTTAGGCGGAAATTATATGTTTTCAACTACTTTTCCCCTTTGTAAGAAATTCTCTGACCAGACAGAGAATTCAGGGAGAAGACTGATTTCATTGTTGGTCTGATTCGTTATCACTAGGCTGAGGGCTGCAGCAAGATGGAAATATGGAACAAAAAGGCTTTTCCTCATGTTCCTTGTACCACTCAGTGCTCAGGTTCCCCCCATTTAAATGCTACTCTTCAAATGCCTCTTAGGTTTTAGCACATCACTTAATCGGTGAAGGAGATTATTTCCTGGGTCCAACAACTGGAATCGTAGTAAAGAGTTGTTACACTTTCAAACCTGAAAGTCTCTGGGAACTGAAAAGTGAATTCTCCTGATTGCTTTCTCTGCTATGACTCCATTTTCATTACAGTCATAGAATTCAGCAATTAAAACTGGAAAATGAAAAGAGAACCACATAAACTATCAAGGCTAACTTTCATCCATCTTTGTCAATAGTATTTAGGAAAGTTCCTTATTAAGTATGAAGGCCTTGAAGTATAATGTCCAGGAACCAGTAAGATTCTCATTCATTCTCTCTTTCTCTCTCGAGAACTGAGGTGAAATAAATAATCTGTGCAGCCCATAGAGTAGCAATAACCATCTGAGGCTATTTACATTTAAATTTCAATAATTAAAATTAAATTCAACCAACAATTCAGTTCTTTAATCACCCTGCTACAGTTGGAACCCTCACCTGAACACCAGTGCCTATGGTATTGGACGGAGCAGATCCAGGGCATCTCCACCATGATGCTTGCTCCAAACTGGGGGGAAATGTGGAGTCACATTTCTGTGTAGTGTGTGAAAAACAGGAGAACAAAGTTGAACTCCAGACAAGACAAGGCCAACAATAGCTCTTTGCAACCCTTGCCTGGCTTTAGCACACAATTTGTTAAGCTAAAGTAGTATCTTGGCCTGTTTGGGCTGCAAAATCAAGCTATTACTGATTTGTAAGCAATGAGAAATTTGTTTCTTACCATTCTGGAGGCTGGGAAATCTGAGAGCAAGGTAGGAGCATGCTCCATTGTCTGCTGAGGGTCTGCTTCCTGGCTTAGACACAGCCTGTTTCTCCTGTATCCTCGTGTGGCAGAGAGAGGGCATGGGTGCTCTCTAGCATCACTAATCCCATTCATGAAGCTGCACCTGCCGATGGCCCCAGTTCCTGCTGACATCACATTGGGTGTTAGGATTTCAGCAAAGAATCTGGGTGGTGGGGGCACAGACACTCAGTGTATAGCAAGCACCTCCTGTGTGTCCCAGAATAAGGAAGGGAAACAACATTTAGGAAAACAAGTAGAGGACCAGACACCTTGTCCCAGAGCACACCGGCGTGGAGCTATGGTGATTACTAAAACAAACACAGTCACATCTTCACAGGGAGCTGGAGATGAGCACCTGGTTGAGGCATTTCCTGTTACCCAGCCAAGACTGTGAGTGTGCAGGTGGCACATTGTCACTGAAGCAGAAGAGGTGAAGAGTGCAGGGTGCGCAGTGGGGCTATGACCGCAAACCAACCCCTTAGCCACGGGAGAGGGGCAGCAAGTAGACCCCATGCAGATGTTGATCAAACCAGAAGCAAAGGGCTGACCCACGGATCACTTCTTGCGTTTCTAGCTCATCATCATCATCTTCTTCTTTTAATTTTCCTTATTCGTGGTCATTATCTGCAACTCTTGTATCAGCGTTTACAGCTGGGCACTGATCCATGGACGTTCAAAAGGTCAAGGATGCACTTAACAGAAAATCGGTGAGGATGTGCTGTGACCTCACAGCGCAGGTGACTGTAACAGTCTGTTACTAAGTGTCATGGGGAATTTACTTGGTGAAATGGTAACATTTCAGAATGTCTTATTTATGGTAATTCTTCTTCTTCACGATTAGAAATTCTCTCTCAGGCTTCCAAGATTTAAAAACAGAAGTTTCCCAATACATACTGAAACCTATATTTCCATGAGATCTTGCAAGGTGATTTCATAAAGCTTTAAAATATGAGCCTTTGGGCTGGTGCTGTGGCACAGAAAGCTAAGCTTCCGCAGGCAGTGCCGGCATCCCATGTGAGCGCTGGTTCGAGTCCCGGCTGCTCCTCTTCCCATCCAGCTCCCTGCTAATAATGCGCCAGAGAAAGCAATGGAAGATGGCCTAAGTGCTTGGGCCCCTGCACCCACCTGGGAGACCCGGAAGAAGCTCCTGGCTCCTGGGTTTGTCCTGGCCATTGCGGCCATCTGGGGAGTGAACCAGTAGGTGGAAGATCAATCTCTCTTTCTCCTTCTTTTCTTCCTCTTCCTCTTCTTCTTCTTCCTCCTCCTCTTCTTCTTCTCTGTTGAAAAAAAATATATATATATATATATAATTAGCCCTCTTTGGAGGAAATAGATGTGGATTCAAATTATGAAAGAATCTCCTGGTTTTTTTTCTAAAGGACTAGAAATGAATATCAGAAGGGACAAATCCATCTTCTTAAACTCTTAAGGCAACACCAATTATCAATTAGGCTGTAAGTGACTTCCTCAACTACATATGGAGTTTCTCCCACAGCTGACTTTCTGTAATCAGCAAAACCAAGAATCTATTTTTAAAAAAAGCAATAAGTGAAAACTCTATATTCATCAGAATTGTCAGAATCTTATTTTCCTTCTTCACTTGCAATTAGTGACTAAGGATTAAAGTCAGAGTTCCATGTTCCAGCTGATCAGAGTTCAGCATTTTCTGGATGCCACCAAAAGACATTCGTATTTAGACAGCTGTGATCAGCTGTGATCTCAGCCACCTCGGTTTGCCTCGGGAACTGAGGGAATTCATCTCACTTTGTGCCCACCTCTGTTTGAGATGTGGCTGGGAACAGTAATCTTTTGACCTTTGATTAGCATTCATCTGAAAAGTTGGAGATGAGGTCCCCTAGATGAGTGTCATTCTTCCATGCTTTTGTTTGAATTGTAGTGAAAACTAAATTACACAAAGTATTGTCATTGTTTCCTGAGTTCCGAAGAGCAAGCGTGTTTTATTGTACAAACAGAATGCAAGAACAGTTACGTGACTTTTCCTTAAATCCTGCAGCTCTAGGGAGTCAGTGTTCCCTTTCTGTTTTGGGATCTCTCGTCCTGGGAAAACACTGATTTGCCTGCCATGTCTTGAAGCACAAATAATACATTTCATGTTGTTAGGCTTGAATATTCTAATACATCTACTTGGACACCTTAATCTCAGCCTTGCAATATTTCAACTATTTTTTTTTTATTTATTTATTGCCTGGGGTGAGCTCAGCACTCTGCTTACATCCTTATTCCTTTGGGTAAAAGAAGAATCAGCCAACAGAGATGTTCCTTTTGACCTTGCTCCCCATAGAACTAGGAAGGGGCAGGGAGAATGCCAAGAATTGGCTGATCGAGAATCAGAAAACCTCCATGCTGGGACCGTCCCCTGCATTCAGTTTTACAGGAGTGTAAATGAAGTGAGGGTGAAGTCTGTTGACTCTGCCTTTATGACTGGCCTGAGGGAACCTTGGATGTTTGGGACATCCAGAACGTTTCAGATGAAAGCCTCAGTGTAAGGCAAGGGCTATTGAAACAAGTTAAAATCAGGGCGGGCGCCGTGGCGCAGCAGGCTAAGCAAACTTCTGCAGTGCCAGCATCCCACTGGGCACCAATTCTAGTCCCAGCTGCTCCACTTCCTATCCAGCTCCCTGCTAGTGCACCTGGGAAAGCTGCAGCAGATGGCCCAAGTGCTTGGGCCCCTGCACCCACGTGAGAGATCCTGATGAACCCCCCAGCTCCTGGTTTCCAGCCCTGGCTGTTGTGGCCATTTGGGGAATGAACCAGCAGATGGAAGATTTCTTTCTCTCTCTGTGTGTCTGTCTGTCTCTCCCTCTCTCTCTCTAATTCTGACTTTCAAATAAATAATTAAGTATTTTTAAAAAAAAAAAAGTGTTAAAAGTAAGATACGGGTTGGCAGTGTCAGCTGGCTTTTTAAATGTATTTTATTGTTTTTATTAACTTTATTATATGAAAGTACTGGAATAAAAGGAATGTACATCCTTCTTTTTTTTTTTTTTAAACCTTTTTTTTTTTTTGACAGGCAGAGTAGACAGTCAGAGAGAGAGACAGAGAGAGAAAGGTCTTCCTTTTGCCGTTGGTTCACCCTCCAATGGCCGCCGCTGCAGCCGGCGCACCGCGCTGATCCGATGGCAGGAGCCAGGTGCTTTTCCTGGTCTCCCATGGGGTGCAGGGCCCAAGCACTTGGGCCATCCTCCACTGCACTCCCTGGCCATAGCAGAGAGCTGGCCTGGAAGAGGGGCAACCGGGACAGAATCCGGCGCCCCAACCGGGACTAGAACCCGGTGTGCCGGCGCCGCAAGGTGGAGGATTAGCCTATTGAGCCACGGCGCCGGCTTACATCCTTCTTAAAAGAAAAGAGTTAAAAGCCAAAGGTCACATGCTAGTATCAGCACTTGAGTCTAAGTGTCCTCCTTGAGATGAATCCAGCTGTAGTGGCAGGTGTCCTCCCCGCCGTGAACTGACTTCCTTACCACGTGTTCCTCAAGTGAGCCTAACAGTTCCCTAACATCTCCCACTCTGCTCATGGATTTGCCACAGAAACTTAAAGCTATTCCATACATGTGGGCTGATGTTGTGTGCAGGTAGATGTCAATGAAATCTTTGTCTCTTCCTAGATAGCTATTACTATACTACTCTGCCGTCAATAAGAATTCAAGGGGAAGATGTTTGGCAAGTGGTTAAGGTGCCACTCGGGACACCTGCATCCCATGTCACAGTGTCCGGGTTCAAGTCCTGGCTCTGTTCCCAGTTCCAGCTTCCTGCTGCTGTGCACCCTGCAAAGCAGCGGTGATGGCTCAAGTACTTGGGTCCCTGCCACCTACATGGAAGACCCGGATTGAGTTCCCAGCTCCGGACTTCAGCCTGGCCCAACCCCGGATGGTGTGGGCATTTGGAGAGATAGGAGATAGGAGAGATAGGAGATCTCTGTCTCTGTGTGCACGTGTACATGTCTATATCTGTTTGTCCCTTTCTCTATCTCTCTCTGCCTTTCAAATAAATGAAAATTAATAAATAAAGATTTTTTAAAAGAACTCAGAAAGCCCTCAACATGTATCCAGCACCGTGCTGGTCAATATGTAGAGAGAATATTGCACCTGCTCCCCAGGAGCTTGAGATTAAGGTGTGTGTGTTGGGAGATCGAGAGGGAGAGGGAGAGGGAGAGGGTGAGAGAGAGAGAGAGAGAGAGAGAGAGAGAGAGAGAATGAATGTATTTCCTGATCAGTAAGAGGACAATAGACAGTAACCTATGGTCAGACTCTCCGGGTAAGGGCCACATATTTACAGCTTGCAAGAAGGAAGATGCTGTCGGCCTGGAGAAGTCAGGAGTGGCTGCAGAGAAGGTGTGGGGTCCTGAGTGTGTGTGAGATGTGAGCTGGAAAAGAAGAGGGAATTGAAGCAGAGAGCGCAGGTGCGCCAGAGGAAGGGATGACAAGTGTGAAGGGCGGGGGATGCGTGCGCTGCCTCCCAGGCACCTTTAAGAAATGAGTCTCGTCGGAGCGGAAGGGTCACTGTGGTGAGGAGTGGAAGGAGAGTCCTCAGGTCTGGGTGACAAAGGCCTGCGTGCTCAGCTAAAGTGTTTAAACCTAACTGCATATGCAACAGAGAACTACTGAGGCTGTCGCCAGCAGGCCGATACAAACATAGTGGAGTCTGTGATGCACTCCTGCAGGTTAAAGCCTGGGGCTTTCATCCTGTGGACAAGCCAGCTTGTTGCCCCCAGCTGATTCTTCATCGTTATTTACGAATATCTTTCAAAATATCTCATAAACTGAGGCAATGTGCAAAGTCAGTGAGAAGAAACTGGAGAGTTCAGGGTCTCAGGAAAGTTACCAGAAGTGAGCCTGTCTTCATGCACCCTTCACCTCGAGGCTTCGGCTCTGGGCCACAATCCTCTGAAAGGGCTTCATTTCCAAAAACAACCATCCCAGATAGTTGTTTGCATGGCCAAACCATTTAGCCTTGGGACCAATGCCAGATTCTTCTCATTGTCTAAAAACACTCCCTAGAAAGTCAAGGACAAGATGATGAGTGTCTGATGGCCAAGATTCTGTTCTTCTTCTCCTTCTTCTCCTTCTTCTCCTTCTTCTCCTTCTTCTCCTCCTTCTCCTTCTCCTTCTCCTTCTCCTTCTTCTTCTCCTTCTTCTTCTTCTTCTTCTTCTTCTTCTTCTTCTTCTTCTTCTTCTTCTTCTTCTTCTTCTTCTTTTTAAGATTTATTTATTTGAGAGGTAGAGCTGCAGACAGAGAGAGGGAGAGACAGAGAGGTCTTCCATCCGCTGGTTCACTCCCCAAATGGCTGCAATGACGAGCCAAACCAATCCAAAGCCCGGAGCCAGGAGTTCCTTCTGGGTCTCCCACATGGGTGCAGGGGTCCAAGCACTTGGGTCATCTTCTGCTGCTTTCCCAGGCACATTAGCAGGGAGCTGGATTGGAAGTGGAGCAGCCTGGAGGCAAACCGGTGCCTATATGAGATTCCAGTGTCACAGGCAGAGGCTTAACCTACTACATCACAGCACCAGCCCTTGTCTGTTATTCTTTATCATATTTGGGAGCTCGTTCCAGTCCTCTGATCCCCATGCAATCCCTCTGAGAGAAAACCGTGCACATGGTTCTGACCATTTACTTGAAAACTAAAAGCACCGGTGGCCTCGGGTTCTTTGAGTAAGCAGAGAGCACAACAGGGGAGAGTTCATGGGTGTTGCTTCGGTCTCCCGCAGGTGGCCCCGGTGATCAAAGCCAGAATGATGGAGTACGGGACCACGATGGTCAGCTACCAGCCCCTGGGAGACAAGGTCAACTTCTTCCGCATGGTCATCTCAAACCCCGCGGCCACTCATCAAGACATCGACTTCCTCATCGAAGAGATAGAACGCCTCGGGCAAGACCTATAACAGGCTGCCTCACCAAGCTCTTCTGAGTCCCTAGGTAGACAATGGAGTCGTCACAAACCGCATCAATGTATTTGTAGTTTGTTCCAAAGTGAATCTATTTCTATATTGTGGTGTCAAAGTAGAGTACAGTTGAAAAATCCAGAAAACATTGCTCCTTTTAAAAGTCGTTTCTTAAGTTTAGAATACCTCCCTACCAATTTGGTGACAAAAGGCTGTGTTGTAACCCGTAAGGAGAAGCTGGCAATTGTGAGAACTACTTCCCTTACTTTTAATATAGCATGCAAATCAAACTTTATTTTCACTGCAGAGTAGTGGGGTTGAATTGTGCCAAACTGCCCCAGAATCATCAAAGTATTACCTGGGGCAGAGTGAAAGGGATAAAGTAAATATAAAATGTATGTTGACAATAAAATACTCTTGCCTTTTTCATAGTATTAGAGAAAAAATTTCTAATTTACCTAGAGCAACACTTCAAATGTATTTAAATACATATAATTTTACAAAAGGAAAATATATATATTAAAAAGAAATCCTATTTTGTAACATATAGATTTTTATTTTATATGGGTTATGAAACTGCAGGGGCAGATACAAAACTTAAGCCAGATTGCTTTTTCTCTTTCTTTTCATGGAAGGTTCCATTAGACCCTTAGCGAAGTTATTTTGAAACATAGGCCCACGAAATTCTTCAAAGGAATGATCCCTTTTTTCAGTCCATGTTAGAAGCTTCTCGCATCTCAAATTGGTGTTTCAAAACAAACACAAAGGAATACTGCACGTTCTTCGGAAAGTTCAGTCAAATAAAAAAAGGAGGCTCTCTTCCTAAGATTGCCTCTCACTCCACCCTGAACAGACCACTCTGTGGGCGAGACGAGCCAATCTTTTCTCCCAACAAGATCCAGATGAATGGTACTATGCAGACATAAGATCCCTAGAATTCAAATTCAAAGTAATACTTGTTACACATCCTGCTTCCCCTGCAAACCTGATGCGAACCTGATGGGGAGACATGAGCTGGGGGAGGCTTCCAGAGGCACTCATGGCGCCCCCAGGTTGTCAGATCCCCAGTGCTGTTAGGAGAAGTGAGGACTTGCTGACTGTGGATGGGTCGTTCAGCAGTTAGCCTGCAGATGTGCCAGGGAGGAGAGGGCACTGTCCGTCAGCAGAGAGAGATGCCCGGAGTGTGACCACAGCGTGCAACCATCTGCTCTTCATAAACTTGCCCCTCCTGCGTTTCTCGCAGGTTATGTACAGACACCACTGGTTCTTGACCAGAGCCTGGCTCTGGGCCCTTTCAGTGTCAAAAGCAAACGGATTCCTTTTGAAGACTCGAAGAAAACTCTGTAACTGTGCTTTGGCCTCCCGTTCCAGGCCGACCTCTCCTTACTGGAACAAGCACACAGTATGCCCATCTGTCTTGAGCCTCGGGCCCAAGGTCCCATCTCAGAGGCAGAGCCTCTAATATATCAAAGCCACCGTCTTGCTTGGCAAAGACAGTGGAGCCCAGAGTCCTGGGGAACCGACCCCTCTGGACTTAAGGGTGCTTACCTCTTGGTGGTCAGCGCCTACAGCAGCAGCTGTTGCTTTTTTAGTTTGATGAGGTGACATAATTTAAAAAGGAAATTTGTGCTCCTTATGAAATTCTAGTAAAATAATTATTAACTTCCTGCCCTTCTAGAACCTTCTTGAATTTTCCGGGTGCCTTGCTCATGCCTATGCAGGGGAACCCCCGCCAACCATAGCCCAGGGAAGGAGGCAAATGAAAGGCCAGGGAAGGAGCGGTAGGAGGCAAGGACGGAAGGAAGGGGAGAAGATTGTTATTCGTCCAGATTCCCAGTGCCAAAGCCCTTCATGGGGGACTATTCCTTACAAATCACAGAAATGTTTGGTTTTAGCTTTAATCAGAATAGACGTGGCCATTTTCATTTATACAGCAATATTGTGTTTATTATTTAAAATACTTGAAAAATAAAAGGTGTGGTATGTCCTCATCTGAGATGTGCAGATGGTGTGGACTTCGCGTCCTCACTCGTGCGTGTGACTGTGTTGCCTCGATGAGGCCGACAGTACTGAGCTGTCGCCTCCAACCGCGGTTGTGCACTTTAGCGCTGAACTGTACGGTGTTGCGAATCAACATGTGTTGCTGTAAAAGCTTGTGCAACCTATTACCAGTCCGTCCTTTGCCGTGTGGTAGCTGTGTTGAACTTTGATCTCGTGAGAACTGCATTTACCCCTGTCCATCCCTCCCTCTCCCCTCAACACCCCCCACCCCCAACATCAGCTCTAACAGAGAAGGTGCCCTCAGCTAAGCCCCCTCCCAAGAAACCTCTTTTGAGGATCTCCGTGACTTCACAAAGGGCAAGGGGAGTGTCACAAACGGCCTGCCTCGCCGTGACGACCCCGCGAGTACCGTTGGAGGTACTGTTCCCGCAAACACAGACCCAGACCGGGAAAGCATGGTGTAAATATCCTAGCGGGGTGGGCGAGGCGCTGGGGAACCCAGGCCGAACCTCACCTGGCACGTGCCCTGCTGTTTTCCATCGCACAATGCAAACACTGTGCATTGTTACTCACCTGTGCCAAAATACCGTTCCCACCCGGTGTCCCTCAATGACATCGGCATCGCCCCCACCCCGCTCCATGACTAAAGACAGCAAAACAACTAAAAATAAAATGTACACACATGTGGCAACCTGTTCTTACCAAATATCAACTTGTGTATGATCCAAGTATTTTATCTGTGTTGTCTCTCTTAATCCAAATAAATGTGTAAGTGTGGACGTATCTCGGCCTGCGGAAGCTTATTTCTGACTCTCGTGGGCTGGAGAAATTGCCAACCAAGTGTCTGAAGACAAAGCCCTTTTCTCGCCACGGAGCTCAGAGTGTCTGAGAGAGAGAGTCCTGCTTTGCCAGTCTCCTCCACTGTGTAGCTCCCAGGGGATATTGTCACACATATGCGTTTCTCCTTCAGTCGGACTCAATCTTTAAAAAAAAAAAAATCGCCTCCCTCATCTGCCAAGCTCATCTTCCCTTGTTCCTTAAGACCTGGAAGGACCCTGAAAGATCACCTACACCCTGGGCTCTGGAGCCGGGCAGGACAAAGCTGTTGCCAGTCTATGGCAAAATGAGCAGCTTGGACAACCAGTAGGAGGCTTTTGTTTTATTTTTCTATTTTTTCTTTTTTTTTTAAATTTTATAAGAAGTGAGTTTTTGAAAGATGGATCTCTTCAATCTGTGTGTCCCTGCTACAGTTTGTTGTGGCAGCGGCTCTTTAAATCCTGTTTATAAACTGATAGTGAAGGGATCTTACTAGGCAGAGATGGAGTTAGCAACCCTCTTTTGTATCTTTCAAAAAATTTTATTTGTTTCTCTTGCTTTTATTTGAAAGGCAGAGAGAGCGAGGGAGAGAGGGAAGAAGGGAGGGAGGAGGGAGAGAGAGAGAGAGAGAGATATCTTCCATTCACTGGTTCACTCCCCAGATGCCTGCCTGCAAGTCTGGGTCAGGTGAAATCAAGAGCCGGGAACTCTCCCCTGGGCTCCCACATGGGTGGCAGGGACCCAGGTATTTGGGCCATCATTCAGTGCCTTCCAAGGCTCATTAGCAGGAAGCTGGATCAGAAGTGGAGCAGCCAGCCCTGTTATGGGATGCCATTGTCCCAAGCAGCAGCTTAACCTGCTGTGCCACAACGCTGGTCCCCATCTCGTTTATTTTTTCCAGGTAATCATTTTAATATCAGAACCTACGCTCCTTCAGAGTTAGGCTTTGTGAGATGGACAAGAAGCTGTGACGGTGCAATCCCAGAGCCGTTTCTTTGCTCACTGCTCACTGGAGATGAGAAGGGTAACGGGGCTGGGTGGTGATGTAGCCGCCTCCCACGCGCCAGGGAGGAGTGTGGCCAGTCTGTTTCCCCAAGCGCCCTTGACCAGGAGTCACACAAACTCCCAGATCTGACAGCGTTTGCTGCTATGCGGAGACTGAGTCCGCAGCATCACGTACATAGATCAAAATGTCCTTTTAGGAAAACCACCTGGTTTAACATCTGTTCCTGCGTATGCAAAGAAAGCTCTCACTGAAATGAATTCAGACTTGAGGCCATTCTTTTTTAGTTTTGTTTTAATTTGAGAGAGAGAAGGAGGAAGATAGAAAAGGAGAGAAGAGAGAGAAAAGAGTTCTCATCCGCTGCTTCACTCTCCAAATGCCCACAACAACCAGAGATGGACCAGAGCTGGGCCAAGCCAAAGTAGGAGCCAGAAACACAATCCAGGTCACCCACATGGTGGTAGGAACTAATTACCTGAGGCCATCCTCACTGCCCCCCAGGGTCTGCATTGGCAGGAAGCTGGAGACTGGAGTCGGAGCCAGGAACTGAACCCAGGTTCTCAGGTGTGCAGGAGTGTCCTGACTGGTGACACCTTCATCGGGAAGCTTTGCTTTTTTCTGCTGTCCCAGTTGGTTCCCAGCGGCAGTCTATGGGAGGGGCCAGGAGGCGGGGGAGGATGAAGACAAACCCAGCTGCTACTGCTATGTTAAGCTCTTCATCCCGAAAGAATATTAGAGAGTTTCTTTGCTTCTGGCCTTTGGTCAACTACAATCAACAAATACAAAGACATTTTTGAAAAGTTCATAGAAAACAAAAGTAAAAGATAAATTTATTTTGGAGCAAAAATATTTGAAATTTGTGCATACAGGGGTTTTCAAAAACTTCTTGGAAATAAATATGATCAAAAACCTATGCATAGATTTCAAACATATTTGGCACCAAAATAAACTTCTCTGTAATTCCATTTTTCTAGGGCTGGTGTTTGGCACAGTGGTCCAAGTCACTGCTTGCGATGGCCACATCGGCTGTCAAGAGAGCACCTTGTCCAAGTCCTGGCTACTCTGCTCTGACCCAGCATTCTGCAAAGGCAGTAGTGATAATGCAGGTATAGGAGTCCCTGCTACCACGTGGCAGACCCGTATTGAGTTCCTGCGTCCTGGCTTCAGAGCCTGGCCCAGCCCTGGTTGTTGTGGGTATCTGGGGAGTGAAGCAGTGGATAGAAGGTCTATTTCTGTCTCTCTGCCTTTCCAATGAAAATAAATAACTAAAATTTTAATTCTGTATTTTCCATAGACTTGTTAAAATTTCCTCCTATATGTGAGAATTTTATGATTAAATGACTAATGAGATTTGCTTTTACATAAAATAATATCATCCTAATGTATATGAGTGTTTTTTTTTAATATTTTCTTGTTCCCACTGTCCTCACTTGCTATTGTTGTCATATATTAATGAGAATTCCGATTACCGCCATTACCCCAGCCAGCAGTTGAGTTACCTGCTCAGGCAATAAATCGCAGATATGAATTCTGGAGGCTGAGAGTCCCCGGGGCACTGATGTCCTGTCCTCCTGTCCTTGATGTCTTCTGGGGCACTGAGCCCCAGGTATTCCTTCCCAGGGACGTCCACGGCCAAGCAAGCACGCATCTGCCTGTGACAGGTGCCATGACTTCCTGAGGACATCTCAGCACGGACTGCGTTGGCAGCAGCTTGGCAACCAGGCTCCTGGTGGGCCAGGCAGGATCTGGGCACGCATGTTCTCATGCTCTCACGACTGCCCGGCCTCAGATGCAGGCACTGCCATTTATTAGCTTTGTAGCTCCAAGCAAATCACTTAACCTCTCTGAACCTCTCCCATCTGTAAAACTGGGACAAAAATAGCACTCATTGCCCAGGGTGGTGGTGAAGAAACAAATGAGAAACAACCCAGTGCCTGGAACACAGGGAATTCACCCCAAATGCCGCCACCCTCATTTTTCGGTCTGCATTGTTGCCTACATGGGCAGGCTTGGAGGCAAAGCCTTCGTCCTACATCAGCTCCCCCGGAAAACCTTGTGTCCTTGTGGCACACCAGGGGACACCAGCAGCCACACCTTCCTGCAGAAAGCCACTAGGAGTGTCTGCTCTGAGAGTAGTAGGCTGGCGACCAAGCCAGTCCTCGTCCTGGCCGCCTTCTTAGTTTGAGTAGGGACCGGAAATGCTGGGACGTACAACTGGGGAGAAAGGAGCTGAGTTAGTTGACCCAGAGCTTGGTTTGAATGTTCATACCTGCAGGTGCATCCCCAGCCACCCAGCAGAGTCAGAGCCAATGATGGGGCTGATAGGCACGGGCTTCACTAGGCTTGTGTATGTGGTCACTTCCTTGATGGCTGCTCAATTCCATTTATACATTAAGGATTAATTTTTGGTGCAGGAGTGGATGTTTACCTCAACAGTTAAAATACTGTATGGGATGCCCTCATCCCATACCAGAATACCTGGGTTCAAGTCCTGGCTCTGCTTCTAGTTCCAGCTTCTTGCTGATGTGCACTGTGGGATGCAGCAGGTGATGGCTCAAGTTCTTGGGTCCCTTCCCCTCACGTGGGAGACCCAAATTTGGGCTTTGACCTAGCTTCACCCTGGCCCAGCCCTGGACCATTTGCAGGCATCTGAAGAGTGAGCCAGCAACTAGAGGATTTCTGTCTGTCTCTGTCTTTCTTCATGTGTCTGTCTCTGCCTTTTAAATCAGTCACTGTTTGTGTCCTCCCAAATTTCACAGGTGAACACCTATCCCCAGTGTGATGGTATTTGGAAGTGAGCATTTGGGAAGTGATTAGGTCATGAGGGTGGATCAGTGCCCTTCTCAAATAGCCTCCAGGGGCATCCCTCCCCCCGCCCTGGGAGGCTGCATCAGGTCAGCAGTCTACAACCAGGAGGAAGACCCTCACCAGAGCCCGACCCTGCTGACACCCTGATGTCTAACCTTTAGCCTCCAGCCCCTCAGTCTACTGTGGTTTGGTAGAGCAGCCAGAGCTGGCGAAGACAATATTGGACACACCATGAGAGGGAAGAGTGACTGGTCCCACCCCTACTCCAAGCCTCTGAAGACTAGCCATCCTCAAACACCAAGTAGCAGGGAAGCGAAAGAAGTTCCGAATTGAAAGTCGGCTTGCTCAGGATTCAGCCTTGTGTCACAGTGCACGCATGGATGGCACCGGCAGACTGCAGCCTCAGGAGTGACCGGCCACGTCTCACTAGGAATCCCGTTTCTACTGTTGGGGGAGAAACAACGCATATGATCCCAACTCAAGTGTCAGGGCTGGGGCTTCTGGCTGTTGAAAAGTCATCAGGAGCTTATCACAGTTGGCAAGAACATGACTTTCAAGAAAAAAATGTCCATTTATTTAAATAAGAACTTTATAAATTCCAAGAAAATTCAATTGCATAAACTAGAAAAACCAGGGCAGAATCAGGGAGTTTCTTTTCATTGAGATTTTAGTGAGTCGAAAGGAAATTTTTGCCACTTGTCTTATGCCTTCTCTTTATTTCCTTATATGTTTGTTTTAGGATCATGGAAATTGTGCTAGCAAAGACTAGGGATTTTCATGATTACTCATTGTTACTTAAATTATTGTATGGGGCTGGCGCTGTGGTGCAGCAAGTTAAAGCCCTGGCCTGCAGAACTAGTATCCCATATGGCCGCCGGTTCAAGACCTGGCGGCTCCACTTCCCATCCAGCTCTCCACTATGGCCTGGGAAAGCAGTGGAGGATGGCCCAAGCCCTTGGGCTGCTGCACCCACATGGGAGACCCGGAGGAAGCTCCTGGCTCCTGGCCTCAGATCAGCTCAGCTCTGTTCATTGTGGTCATTTGGGGAGTAAACCAACAGATGGAAGACCTCTCTCTCTTTCTCTCTGGCTCTACCTCTCTCTATAACTCTGTCTTTCAAATAAATAAAATAAATATTTAAAAAAAAATAAACTGT